TCCTCTGTGTCCACTCATGACCCTGCTGGTCCTCTGTGCCCACTCATGACCCCACTGGTCCTCTGTACCCACTCATGACCCTGCTGGTCCTCTGTGCCCACTCATGACCCTGATAGGTTTGCTTACCGGGTTGCGCACGTCTGGCACAGTGAGCCAAAGAGGGAAAACGATGGGCAGCAGGAAGAGGTAGGTCGCCTGTTTGCGTCGTGTCTCTGGCCATTCCAGGGACAGAGGTTCTTCGATCTCATCCTCCTCCTCATCTTCCTCTTCATCCTCGCTGTCCTCATCACTGTCATCATCGCTGTCGTCGCTGTCATCTTCACTGCTGCCTGAGCCACACGAGCCTGCCGCATCCTCTGGCTGTTGGGTGAAGACAGGAAAGGACGAGAGAGACATGAGGAAGAGAGAGACAGAGGTGTGAGAGAGGACGTTAAGTGAATAAGCAACTGTAAGCTTAGTTAAATAAGCAGCACGGAGTGTGCCTCAACTCTTCTGAGCACTGCACATAATTAGCTATTCATTCTAGTCTCTGAGGCGAGCCAACAGGATGGTGTACTTGTGGGCTTAATGTGTCCTATATTTCATTTATTGTGTGTGTTCTGAGTCAAAGGAGAAGCTTTATGAGCTTGTAGTTTTACTGACTAAACACAACTGTGCAAGAGGCCTCTGAATTAAAATACCACACTGCACTACCTCTACATTAACATTTCTTTATTTAGTTCTTCACTGAACTGCACCAAAAAGAGAGAGCCAGCTGGGTTGACTGGGTCAGTGACCTGGCTCTGTTACAGGAGCTGTATCACACCTTCTGGCCCTCGGTCTGCTCTGTCTTCTCCTCCTCCTTGGGGGCTGGCTGTGATGTGGACGGCTCTGGAGGGGGCGTCACCTGGACATTGACCGCGTTGGGGAGGTTAGTGTCTATCCGCCAACAGGAAGGAAGAAGAAAAGCAGAGGAATGTACATGTTAAAAGTGTCCGTGTGTCCACCCTGCAAAGCAGACATACTGTATCCTGCTGTGAAGTACTGCAATACAGGTCCTCTCTGCTTTTCATTTTAAAATCCATATCTCTGAAACAGGTATGCAGAATGAAACATCCTTTATCCTTAAAGCAAGAGCTTACATTTTGTATTTCTTCTGATGCTTCTGTAATTAAATTTGTTTGTTCTCTTTAGCTTTAGGATGAAGCCTACGTGCAACTCTCCATCCCGAGTCTGAGCTGTGAGCCCCTTGTCTCTTTGGAGACAGCTGGTATCAAGAGGTCACAAGATCTCACACCCAGCAGGTGGGATATAGTATTTGGGAAGCAGCGTTTTTTTTCAATCGGGAGCCTGTTCCGTGAATCATTTGAAATTCATTACTTAAAAAAAAGAACATTATGTCAGCTAACGTGCGCGGAGGGCTCTTGTGTTCAAACAAAAGGAACACAATGGAAAAGGGGGATCTTTAGAGACGAAACAAAAGGGCAGCTCTTGGAGCTGTCCCTGCTCCTTCCCCCTGAATACAAGCCCTCCACAGCTGGCGCGGTAATGGTTGGGAGCTGCTCGTGCCCCGTGCATGTACTGTACTGTACTGTACATCCAGCCCACACTGCTCACCTGCGCTGCCTTTGCATATCATGCCTCCTATCTGTGAGAAGCACTTCACTGTTATAGACTGGAAAGGCTTGTCTCCATTGCAAAGACAGACCAGCATGTAGATTGGTGCCCAAAGCCCAGCACACAGGCACGAGCAGGCTCAGGTCAAGAGAAAGGTGAAGAGAAGGGTTAAACTACACTGTTTTCATAGGCCTGCTCTCCCTTTGCATTACATACTGTAACACCTGAAAATCAAAGCACTTTCACATCCAGGAAGACGTTTGTGTTCCTGCATGATCTTAGCTCAAAATATTGTCAGACAGAACAGAGAGCATCATTGGCCTCATCCATATTGTGACAGAGGACCCGTGCCCTGGAACCAGCGCTGAAAACCCCAGGGCACAGGAATAGAGTCCAGGCTGCCGTGTGCAAGACGTACAGCTGCAACATTTTCTCATCTAGAAATTGTGTTTCTGTCTGACAATCCAGAAGTACATATTCTAACCGTTACCACTAGATTTGAAGTTTCCTTTCAGCACCAAAGGTTTATTTGTACTGATAAACAAATCAGTCTCCGTTTTTTTTTTCTTAACGAGTGACAGCTGTGCCACGAGTACATACTTGTTCTCCTCTTGTGTCTCATTCTGGGCACAGCTCCGAGGTAGGAGGAAGGCTGCTCAATCAAAGAATTGATCAGGCTGTCATGCTAATTGCTGGCTGGTCTGTGGCCTTCAGGAGCAGTGAGAGGGGGGTGACAACAGTGACAACTAAGCAGCAAGTGCATGAGCTCTTTGCTGTAGATTATGCCTCCTTCTTTACACTATTTGCCTTGGGCTATGTCTAAGCAACCTCATTCGAATAATAATGACTACAATAACGTCAGGACACAAGTGGACAAAATGGATAACATTCTCCCAGCTGCAAAAGATAAATCTGTAACACTCTGTGAAGACCAGACAAAAGACCACCAATATTCATTTCTTTGTACATAACATTGATTTGATTTGTAATTCTGTTATGGTGACCCAGAAATTGGAAGAAATGATTTTTTTAAACACTGTTAGCATAATTTCAATCCAGTACTCATTTCTGTGCTTAAGTCTTCAAAAAATCTACTTGTTTCATTATTTTTGTGTTTTTATGAGACATTTTCCTTTCTGGCACTTTATGACACTGCAATTTTTCAACAGTGAGGGAACAGCTGGAGAACTGTAATACACGGTGTGGAAGCACAGTGCCTGCAATACCTGGTCTTGCAAATACACACAGGCCCAAAGTGTAAGATATTAATGGAACCCTCCCATTTTCAAGTATAATTGTAAATAACCTCTTGTTTCCATGATTTAAGAGAGGATTCTTTCTTAGGTAAAAACATGATTTTAAATCTTTTAACAGATACATTTTGCCCTTCGACGGACTGGTGTCCCATCCAGGGTGTACCCTGCCTTGCGCCCATTTCTTACCGGGATAGGCTTCAACTCCACCTGACCCTGAATTGGAAGAAGTGGTTAGAAAATGGATGGATGGAACAGCTTCATGTGAAAGATCAAATATTCTACACCAAGCTTTCCTCTAAAATCAGGATTTTACAAACATGCGACGCTGCAGTGCAACTTATCCAAATACATATCTGTATACACATAACAGGTTATACCAAACATTTATATATGTGTTTTTTTATTTTATATCCTGATTTAAGTCTGTTTTAGTGCATTATAGAGTATACAGGCTTGTACGCATATAAATGAATCAATGATTACCTTTGAGGAAATAGCTGTTAAAGCCCCAATGTCAATCCAATTTAAGAATGCACAAGAGGCACAGAGCAAATTGCCTGAGAAACTGAAGTATCTCATTAACATCTAAATCTGTATTCTACTGCATTCATCTGAAGTCCTGTAACCAACTGTAGAGCACAAGAAATTTTCTCTGGTTGTCACAGGCTCATCTCCTTTAACTTTCTAGATTTTTGTCTTGATTATCGCAAACAAGACTGTGACACAATGTTTTTGAATTCTGTCAAATGTTATGATTTTATTACCTATGGTGAGTAGAGATATTGGCAGTTACAATTTTCCTCCAGTGATTGTGACATAATTTCTGTCTAGCTATTGCCAAAACTACAAATCGTTATTCCAATATCTGGACCAGAAATGTCCTTCTGTGGATGTTTTCATTTCCAATGTGAGTTTTCTTTGTGTTCTCTTTATGGATTCTACAGTCACAGCGGATCTTATGATTATTAAATCACTTGTCTCAGATTTTTTCTCATTGAGGAGTTTTCAGAATTTCTAAAGAAAACAGGATTTAGGAAACATTCATTCTCCCATTCAGAATAAACTGACTTTTCTAATTAGAGAGAGTATTTTAAAATTAGGTTATGTGTTTGATATGTGAAATGTGTAATGTAACAGAAATATAAAAATGTAACTGTAATATATGTCTATAATGAGAAAAAATGTTCAAACTAGACAAATGATTTAAAGGTATCCTTCTTTCTGGGGTCCTACAGTATCTGTGATGGAAGGAAACAGCTAATAGATTTGTAAAGGTTAGAGGAATAGGGCAACCGCAGAAAAGATCATATGAAAGATATTAATATTCATATGAAATACCTGCTCTTAGAAAATGAAGAGAAAAAGTGAGTGAAGTGGGATTACATTTGTATTCACCTGAAGTTTGCAGCAATATCACAGGCATATTCAGTGGTATTTTCATCCATAAAGCAGAGTTTGTAAATTACAGATCACATGGTGCGAGACTGCAGGATTAAAGCAGAGCTCAGGGTTATGCCTGTGCATCATAATACTGCAATTCGTGCACAAAATATTAGATAGCCCGCATTTGATTCAAAACACAGTCATTGCCTTCTGTGGCACACTACCCATGTGGGTATTGGTTGCATTTTACCTTACAGGGAACCTGCTTTGCTGACAGAAACCTGTCAGCAAAGCAGACACAAGCACAGGCATCCTTCTCTAAAGATGGAGCAGAACGATCAACGTTAATAGTGTTGCACTAAGAGGAAAAAAGAAGCACTGGACGACACTGGACAACGGAACGACACAGCGCAACAGCAGGGGGAGAAAACTCACATTGGAAAACAAACACAACAGGAGGGTCAAGTGTGGGGCCCCAGTGAGCTGTGGAGCTCATCCAGCTCACCTTCGGATTTTGCTTGTCCTTTGCTCTCTACCTTCCCCCTGGCCATGTTGTTCATGATCTCAGCCTTGTCCTTAAACTTTGCTGCAAATAAGAAGAAGTAAATGTGGTCGAGATCTGTGTCAAGGGCTTGCAGTCTCTCCTTGCCTGACCTGCAGCAGAGATATTCACAGCTCAGCACAACATAGACAGCGGCTGCCCATACATTACTGTGTGTCCATGCAAATGAGTAAGGAATGTGTGTTTCAGCTGCCACAGTATGTGCCAATTTGTTTTACACAAACTAGAGAAGGCCAATCCAAAGGACAGTTCTAAATTGAAAAAGTAATTAAAAATATGGTGTTATGTAACTCTGGATGTCTCTTGTCCAGACACCAAATAGTTTAGTTCAACATACTGTATTTAGCAGGTCACGTGCTCAGGACATTTCCATCCTGTCAGGTGTCTCCTACATGACCTGAATCTCTGCCCTCAGGATCTCCTGACCCACAGGGAAATCCAGCCATACGCCATTAAAGAATTACTAAAATCATAGTAATATGGCACAAATGATCAATGAATAAGACAGTGGTGTACTTTGAAGAGTACTTTATATATAAAGAGCCCTACAGTGCTAAATGAAAAACTCTGACAAAAAGTACAATTTTACTATGTTACTTCATTGCTCACGGTAAGACCTCCATGCCACAAGCCAAACTACACGACACCAATGTGTACATGGCACACGGAGGCACATGTACAATCTGTTTGTCAAGGCTGCTCATCTTACAATGTCAGGACAAGAAGAGATTCCAGGGCATTGGTAATGGTGCCTAAGTGCCCTCTTCACTGGAAGAGCCATAGATGCTCTTCACAGAGCCAGAACCCAGGGACTCAGTCTACCGAGCCCCAGACACTGGGACTGGCCATGCTCGTCTTACCTGTCCCCTGTACTGAACAGCTGGGCTTTACATCCCCACTCAAGGCAGTTTCTAATGGACAAAGAGTCATTCAGAAAGGGAAGGGTAAGGCTGACACTGTATTTTTTAAATGCCACAGGCGGACAAGAAACAATATTTAAAGGCTGAGCTAGCGTGCAAAGAACAGGTACAGTATAAGGTTACAAACTCACACAATAACACACATGCACCACATGTTTTAGAAGGTGATTTTTTCAGTGACAGAAAGGCACAGGGAGATGAAGGAGGCTTAAGTTACAGCACAACAGGCGATGGCAGGGAGAGGGGGCATTGAGCTGCCCCCCCAGTTCTTACCTGCTCTGCTCTTGCCCTCCGAGAGCTTTACCTCTCTGTTAAAGATGGACTCTATGGGGCAATGAACACAGGCACAGTCAGCAGGACAGGACAGGGGCGCTGAGGCCAGACACCCCCCAGGCTCGGCTCAGCCAGAACTGAATAATTAAACGGCTTAATAGCGCTAATCATTTCTTTAATTCGAACTTTTTCTTTCTCAGCTGCCAAACATGTATCATGTATTTTACTTTCTCCGTAAAATAAAAAATTAAATTGAACTCACTACATTTTTTTAAGGGCTGATAACAACTTAATTAGAAGCTCAAATTAAATTAATGTGTTAATATTAAGTATAGCTGAGCCAAATAATAGAAGTCCAGAATGTTGGTTTTGCATCATGTGCTAAAGGATTTCCAGCACATTTAGTTGGCTTGTACCAGTTTTATATCATCCCATGGGATCTATGTCATTTTGCAAATGCTGGGAATGGTTGTTATGAGAGAACCACATTCCCTGGTGAGCTAAAGAGATTGGGCTCGCACTCTCTGGCTCTTATCCAGCATGTATTAGAGCTACAGAAAGCTGATTAAGTAGCAGGAGCCGGCAGCACTGTACCCAGGCCACAAGGGTGAGGGCTGAGGACAGGCTGAAGGTCACTCCCACACTGCTGCAGGGATGGGATGTCACAGCACATCATCAGCCTGTCTTTGTTGGCCATGGCCAGCTTGTGTAGGTGCTCCTCTCATAGGACAGCGAGGGTCCTTAGTGAGCCACATGAAGTCAGCCCATTGAGTTGTGTTGTGATGGAGAGGGGCCATGCAGAACTGTTTCGTGTACCACAGGCTGTCCCCATAGCCAGCAAAGACAGCCCCCTGCAGAGCCACAGCCCCACCAGGCCATAACAGCACACCTGAACTCTGGGGCTCAAGACTCTTGATCCAGCAGAAGCCAGAGATCAGGTGGAAAACAGGGGAGATCTGGTGATTGCAGGAACCTACCAGCTCTTTTTATAGGCTAAAAGGGGCATTTGGATCACTTGGATACAAATTTTCCCACCCACACAAATGTCACACATGACTGGAAAGGCAGGACTCAAGGAACACACAGATCCATCCGATGTGGTTGTTTGGTAGGGCCTGTATTCTCATGGGAACTCTTGTCTCAATCACAGCAAGCGATTCCTTCCTCGCTCTCCTGGGGTAGTAGCCACAACACACTGGAACAGGTCTGTTGCTCGTGACCTGGGAAGTTTGTCAGTTGGACGGGGGAGAAGACATGGTCCCTTGCTGTGCATTCTAGGTTTTTTAACAGAGAAAGGTTACGCTTTTAAGCTAAAGGTTAAGCTAATGCTTTTTATGCAGTTAGGATGACCTTCAAAATCGATATCTTACAATCTAATTTGTTTGGTATAAAACTTTAAACCAGTCCCTTGGTAAACTCTGACTAATGAGCCAGAGAGACCTAGTTCAGAGCCTTACATAGAAGAACATTGTGCTCAGACCTGCTCACCTCCCAGCTTGCAGGCCATGGTGAATTAATGTGATGATTGATATACATAGAGCTATTTATCTGCTTAGTACCAATCTCCTCTTAACTCATTTGGAAGCACACTTTGCTAATCCTTTTTACCGGAGGAAGGGCAAAGGGACTCTAATATGACATAGATTTAATGCATTGTGTTTGTATTTTAAAAGATGGGCATACACTGGAAAACATGGTATAATATGTTATACCACATACAGTATAACTTGCAAGTACCCTATATGTTCTAGGTGTATTACTGCTCCTTTGCATTGTACAGATCAGATCAAGATGGGATCACCTAACACGTAGACTGATGGGGTATGTCTAGTGTGTGGAATCAATGTAAAGTCTGAAATCTAAAATATTTAAAAACATTTTAAGCCTAATAAAAATACGGAAGTTTCTAATTGAGAGCACCATTGAATTGATTAGAGCATATAGTTCTGTATGTATTATATATTAAAATTATAAATTACATGTTTAAACAGTTAAATTTGAAATTTAGAATTGTATTGACTGGGAAGTGTTGAGATTACTATCAGAATTAGCATGGTTTAACACAATCCCCTCTCCCAGAGAAATGGGATAGCCCACTTCTTCCTGGAAATTACCCAGGATTTGCAAGGGTCAGCAGTAAAATTAAGACAAAAAGTTCTGGAGAGCAGAACTGCGATTGACTGTAGCACAGACAGTCAACATCTGGGGCTCGGGATGCTGCAGACTAGACTGTGCAGTATCTATCACTGGCACTTCCTTCCTTCCTTCAAATTAAAAGCTTTAGCTTCAAGGTCTGAAACTAACTATGCCAGTAACAAACTCTATGTTGTGTATGATATAAATTTAAAAGCCTTAAATTATAATTATATGACTTATAAATGAAACATACAGTGTGCATGTTATACCCCATTCTGCAGTCCTACAGTTGACTGCCACTTCAGTTTAATCTTATAGTCTCTAGCCTGTAATTACTAATGACAAAACACCAGTTTTTTGCCTACAGCAGTGTCCAATTGCACACCCTAGTGGACAAGCAGAGACTATTCACTGCACACAGACACTCTACAGTATGTCGCTGTTTCCTGTTAATCAGTGATGCAGTAAAACTAATCAATAGGCTCAAAGTCCTTGTCTAGAGCAACGTATGACCAGTAGTTCCGACCGGAAGAAAATGAACAACAAATATCCTTTCTGCATTCTGCAATTTGTTGTTACTTTCCTAGATTTTGTAGTGCCCTTATCAGGCACCAAGCAGGCAAGCAGTTGGTCTTGCTTGAGATGTCAGCCCCAGAAGACCATGCTGGGGTAGATGGGAACTTGTCTGGGATAGTTGCGAACTATCAGGGACATTGTTAACTCCTGGGACTCAGGGGAAGGACAGAGGTTTGGTACGTGGCATGCCAGTGTACATGTGCGCTGTCCCATGCTTCCCTGTCCAGGATTGTGATGTCAGGGTCCCACCCTGACGTTTTGACTTTTGACGGTGTTCAAAGCAGACATCCTGCCGGCTTTGGTTTATGTGGCTGTGTTGTACCAGACTCAGACGAGCGCCGCGAGGGATGGTCTTCAAGTTCGTCTGGGGAGGCAGGTATGAGTACATCACAAGAAACCGCATGTGTCAGCCGGTTGAGGAAGGGTGGGAGACATGCCGCATTTCCCCCTAAAATGCGACCGCATCTTCCTCTCCAACCTCTGTCGGGCGCTACGGGGCCCAATCAACCCCACCTACACCCACGCTATCAAGTGGAGCAGGAGGTACGAGGCCACGAGACAGCCAGAGCTCTGCACCAACCACAGAGCCCTGTACAAGGAGGTGAGGGGGCAACTGGTCGCCGGAGAGAGGCTGTGGGTTCCCAGACAAGTCTGGGAAAGGACGCAGACAAAAGAACTGGACAATAAGCTAAAGGACCGGGGGCGTGCACCAGAGGCTGGTGACCAGAGAGGTCCTCTATAGACACACTTTTACCAGGAACCTGCATTGCCCCCAGGACATGTGTTTCGTTGAGGAAACGCAGGAGCACGTGTTCTGGAGCTGTTCCTGCACCAGAGCAGTGTGGGGCAGAATGGACAACACTACCCAACTCCTGGGAGCGGGAGGGGTGCTCAGTTACCAGTGCATCCTGCTGGATGGACAAAGGGACACAGTACTGGCTTTGGCTGCTGGTGTCCCTGATAAAACAAGGGCTGTGGACGGCGAGGAACACTCTCATCCAGCACAACGCAGAGTAGGGAGTGAGGGTCACGGAGGAGAGGAACCTTGTGGACCTCAGAGGGAGGATGAAGCGCGACGTCACCAAGTGGGGTTTCTCCATGACGAGGGAGCGCTGGAAAGGACTTGGGACCCTGTAAAGGAAATCCCTGTTCCTTGGAGCTCCTGCGAAGGACCGGACGACTGCAGTTTCAGATCCGGGACAGGGAAAAGGCACAGACAACAGCAAGTGCTAGGGCTTGGAGAGACTCTTTCATTGCGCAAACCCAGCCCCAGCATCCAATTGCCCCGACTGGCAAAGGACAATCACCCTTTCAACTTTAGTATTATAGTAGATATGCATGACGTGTTAGAGTGTGTACTTACTGTAAGAAGTTTTTTGTGAAAGAACGTTTATTTTTATAGAAAAAATATATTTTTTTGTATTTCATAAAAGAGCACTTCTAATGCCACTCTCCTGTGTATTTATTGCCTGCACTACAATTTGAAGAACATGGCCTTGTTCTGAGAGGTGAGCCAGTATCAAACTAGGCAGAGATCACACAAATAATTGGATCTATTTTTAGAAAGAACTTGCACTAAAAATAAGTTAAGTGCTATACTATACAATTTCTGTTACTATTTAATAAGCACTACTCGTACAGGAAAATTAGCCCCTTGCCTTTACAGACACATCAAGCCTAGTAGAAATAAAGAGACACGCCCACATAGGATCATGCTACAGCCTGTCCTGGATTACTGAGCTGCTCATAGTCCCTGCTTTGGCCAGTCAGTTCTACTCCTGTATTACTCCCCTTTGCCATTTCACATGTGTGCTCTGCCTAGTGTATGGCGAATTAGAACATTACAATCTCCTTGTTGGTATATCAATGTGCTGCCCCAGTGCCTTGTCTTACCTTCTCCCAGGGGGTCGAGTGTGTGGATCATCAGCTGGAAGATGGTGTTGCGCATGGTGCTGTTGTGCAGCGAGGCCGAGCTGCCCCCTCTCTGGAGGGTGGGCTTTAGCTGGGGGACAGAATTGTGGGGACACAAGATCAGGGGGCTCAGTACATCAATGCGTGCTGGCAGCTAGACAGATTTCCTTCTCAGATTGTCATCCCCAACGCAGCTTTGACAAAGAGCTAATACAGCCGCATTTGAGCACAAAGCAGAGCAGACAGTAGCGCAGCTGAGTCATGCAGATGCCCCTGCAAAGGGTTGTCACTTGTACTGCTGGTGTGCAGGTGAAGTGGGACAGTGAACACTCCCACTGGGCTGTGTACATCAGTTTAAAACTTTGGAGCTGCTAGCAAGGTATTCAATGACAAAATGCTTGCAATGTCTGCTCCAAGGCTTCACAAACACAAAAGGCTTTCTAATTAAAGGAGCAATGGAACCTTTAGATTATTGCTCACTGATACAAAAACTAAGGAAATGCAATTAAAGTGACTGCATGTGTTTAACGTTTTGTGGAACAGGTAAGGAGGTAAGCATGCCTACCTTTAGTCTGTTTTTGTCCTCGGGGGGCAGGGGTGGGTGTTGGGGTGGGGCATTGTCCCTGCTCAGTGATCCATTGCTCTGTGAATGACAATGAAGCATCCAATCAGTCCTGACAAATCAGAATTTGTCAGAGAGCTTCAGAAAACAAAAACATGTTTGCTACCCTTATGAGCCTAAAAGTCTGCTATGAATTTTACCATTTGGATAGGCCATTCTTCAGATAAATATATTGGACCTTTTTAGTATCATTGCATGGTATCCACAGCATACAGGTGATTTATTAAAAAGTTACTTATTCCTGTTCTTAATCATCACCTACAGACTGCCCAGACACTTCCATCAGAACTACAGTATGTGTCATGTTGGCTATCCTGGGGCTACTCTGCTCTCCTCCTCACTTATAGCTGATGTGTGGTGACTGTTCTGGCGCACTATGGCTGCCGTCGTATCATCCAGGTGGGGCTGCACATTGGTGGTGGAGGAGGGGAGTCCCCATTACCTGTAAAGCGCCTTGAGTGGAGTGTCCAGAAAAGCGCTATATAAGTGTAATATAGCTTGTATGACTTGTTTCCCCATGCAATACAGACAGAATACAGTGTCTAATTCATTGCTGCAGATAACTGAGTGTGAGACACAGCTGTCTGAGGACATTGTAAGACTGGACTAGTCTGAAGGTCATACCTGAAGGTACCCAAACAGCATGAATGAAGTTCTCAACAGAAAGGTAAAATGCAGCAGAAACTCCATCTCCATTTCATGGACACTACAAAACTGATTGGCCTCTCAGTCCACTAATGAAAAACAGTCCGCTGCCTTTAACAAAAGCTCTCGTGGCTGTTATGCAAGGCAAATGAGAGCCCCTTGACAGACAATGTTAATTCGGCGCAGGCAGGCAGCTGACAGGCTCATTAGATTCTGATTATAGGAGGAATGCAGGTGTGGCTGTGAGGGAGACTGAGCAGAAAACAGTGGCCCAGTCTTTCACACAGCACTACAGCCCAGAGTTACACTGAACAAATAACTCTAATAAGAGTTAATATGAGAAAACATTACACTGAGTGTTATATTCTATTGCATTACACTGCTACTCCAGACCAGCATTTGTCAGTGGTTACAATCGTCTGTGCCCAGTGATGATTGTAACCAGTGATTGTTGTTATTGGTGCTAGGTCTTTTAAAATTCATGTATACCTCAGCTATCTGTCAGCAGAAAGCCACTTAGTCCTGGCAGAGGGAGTCAGGATTTTGGGACACCAATTAATCTAATCAGTATGTCTTCAGAAGCATGGGGACCACGCACACTTCACACAGAAGGTACCCCAGTTCAGAATCAAACCCTGGACCCAAAGAACTGCACCCAAAGAACCCAAACAGTTGTGTCTCCCACCTCATAAAATGCAACTCCACATTACTCGCGCATGAGTCTTGAACTTCAGACTTCCAGAGGTCACGTGTGATGAAGAGTCCACAGTTCAGCTCTCTTCCTTTTGTCTCTGATCCTGTTCTAAACATTCAGCATCGGTGACAGTACGCCAGATAAATGCTAGGAATCCCAGATCAATACAAAAGTTTTTTTCTATTAATTAAACGGTTTTTTAACAGCTCACACCATGATGTGCTATAACTGCATTCCCAAGAGCAGTGACCGTGGTGGTTTTATTCAATGTCATACTGTCAATAGCCCATTATCTTTCCTGCCCTACAGTACAGTGGATGTTAATTGGCATTGTATTCTAGTTCTGTCTGAGTGGGTATTTAAAACAGCGTTGGCATGGATACAACAGTCAGGCTGTCATTTTCCTCCTAAATATGAAACTGAAAGACAAATGTCTTTTCTTTCGACAATTCTGTGACAGAGAAAATAGATTTTTATTCTGGCTAATTATCCCTTTCCTACTTCCTCTCCTCCCTTTTCCCATTCACATCCCAATGGCAACGGTGTCCAACCTATAGGAAACTTCCATGTGTTTTATATTTTGTAGTTTCTGCCATTGCACAGACTGGTTGTGTACAAGTGGTTGAGACCTCCCAGTGAACCAGATGTTTCAAATACCAGTTCAGTCAACAATAAATAATGTTATTACTGGACTAAAAGAACAGAGGAGCAAACACAACCAGGCACCTCTTTTGTAACAACTTTATCGGAATCAGGGTCATGGAGGACCCAGTGCTTATTCCAGCAAGCATCAGGCACGAGGCAGGGCACACCCTGGGTGGGATGCCATGCCACTGCAGGGCAGACACACACTCACACCAGGGCCAGTTTTCCCAGAAGACCTGCAAGTATATCTTTGGACTGTGGGAGGAAACCCACACAAACATGGAGACAACATACCAACTCCACACAAAGAACATCCCAGGTGCAAAATTGAACACAGGATCCCAGTGTTGCAAGGTAGAAATTCTAACCACTGTGCTAAAGTGCTGCCCCAATGACAAGAACTATTATGTTTAATCTCTTCTGGAATTAAAAATTAAAACGGGACAAATTTGAAACACTTGCACTGTTGAGATACCATTATAAATGCATGTAAATACATGTACTGTGCAAAGTCTCCAGGACAGTTTGGGACAGTGAAGTGAAATGTCATTTTTGCTGTGTACCAGCATGATTGGGCATTACAACAGCAATATGGAACATCCCTACAATAACAGCCAAAAAGACTGCAAACCATCTGAAGGGGTGAAGGAATCTCAAATCACTGTACAGATGAACAGAAGACTGTGCACAGAAGACTTCCACAGGGGAATTACATGGGCATTGCCTGCATTATTTTTTTTTAGTTTACGGGAGAGTTTAAAGCAGAATCTCATCGTTTTAGTTTTGCAATTGCAAACCTCTCATCAGCACTAAACCCAGAATGGCCAGATAAGAATTGCGAAGAAGAACACAGATGAGCTGCAACAGTTTTAGAACAAGCGTTTTATGACCAGACAAGATGAAGATTTCTCAAAGTAACAGAAAGGCAACAGTGTGGAGGAGAGGGACTGCAGATAATCCTAAGAACACCATCTCATCAGTGAATCATGGTGGAGGCAGCGTCATGGCTTGGGCAAGTTTGCCTCTAGAACAGGCTCACTGGTCTGAATTGAAGAAGTAGCTGATGATGGCAGCAGCAGAATGGATTCTGAAATATACAGAAACCTCTTGTCTGCCCAGGTCCAACAAAATGCCTCCAAACGCCTTGGGTCAATGACCAGAAAAATACTGCAAGAGTTCATCAGAAAGAAGAAGAAGTGGAAACCTTTGAACAGACCAAGTCAATCTCCTTATTTGAATTCCACTGAACATGCATTTTACACATTGAAGAGAAAAACTCCACAAACAAGAAACAACTGAAAGTGGCTGCATTTAAGGCTTGGAAAAGCATCTTAGAGGAACATAAGATTGTGGTGATGTTGATGGGTCACAGATTTGAAGTAACACTGCATGTAAAATACTATATTTACTCTAGTTTTAATTAAATTAATTGGTCCCAATACTTATGTCGACCTAAAACTTGGGGAAACCGAACACAGATATTTTGTTCTAATATGGTTTAACATGTGCACAAACATATCCTGAAATAAAACCTGGAATATAGTACTTTTTCCCCATTTGTTTTTTTTTAAATCTGAAACAGACGTCAATAGTACACTGCAAAAATGACAAATTTCCCTTCACTGTCCCAGTACTTTTCAGTGTCTGTAGTGCTTTAACCAAAGTGCTATCGGTAGCCCAACTCACTTCCTCGGGTGGCAGGTTTACTTTGTGATAGAATTAGTTAGCGTAGCGAAGCTGCAGGGTTGCAGCCTGGTGCGTGAGGAGCTGTGTCTGGAGGTGTGAAGGGGTCTGTCAACCCCAGAGTGCAGTAATTGCCTGTCTGCACCAGGGCTGCTCATCAGCTGAAGCCTGTGTGCTCAGCTCGATGAAAACCCCTGACCCAGCACTAGTAAGACTGATTTAGCACGGTGGGGGGGTCTCACCACATCGAACAATATCAGCTTTTCTTTCAATTACATTTAAACTCCGTTAAGTGCTGCAGATTGCACTTCTCCTGCTGATGCACCTGACAAAGTGAAAGCCCCCTCCCTGTGGGCTGGATTAGGAGCTGGGGATCAGCTCTGGTTCAGAAAGGACTGCTGGTAAATTAATGATGCTGGACTCGACTCAATGACACCCATTACTCTTGAGGCAGGAGGGGGGCATCCAGTGACCTTGCTTTAGAGTACAGAGCCAAAGCAGCGATCACCTGTTGCTGTCTGGAAGACCAGCTAGAACAGCCAGCAGCAATCCCAACGGCTTCATTACCCTGTTATCAAAGGACTAACAAGCATTGATGTTACTGTAAACTTTTTTGTATCCAATTTGTTTTTTAATTGCATGCATCAATCAAAAGCAGCAGCATGTTAAGTAGTGCAAGCAGAATGTGGTGTGGTCCCCACTGCACAGCTTGTCCTACCGCCAGTCAGTAGCAAAGGACAGGCCTCTACACTGTCCAGCTTCTTTGGTTCCTAGACACAGTGACATAACCAGGGCATTGAAGTTATGTCCTATATTTTATCATGTACTATATGGAGGTAATGCAAAAAGACTGCCCTTTGGAATTCAATGGCAAAGATGTACTTGACTAATTTGTTTGATGCATATTTGCATCAAAGCCGGGATCTATGTAAGAAAGGTTTTTGAGTTTAAAACTAACTGCCAGCGTCAACCTTATTTACTGTATTTCCATCCGAAGTCTGAATAACTCTCACCCTCTCAGACATTATTTCTTCAGACAAAAAATGCTTCACTTTAAGATCACTTTATTGGCCATATTCAATTTCTTGCATTAGGAATTTGTCTTTTCGCATACCCCAGCTTGCTCTCCATAAGACACACAGACAGAGAGAGAGAAGCTTGGGGTCAGAGCGCAGGGTCAGCCACTTATACGGCGCCCCTGGAGCAGCTGGGGTTAAGGGCCTTGCTCAGGGGCCCAACAGAGTTGGATTCCTCTGGCGGCCATGGGATTTGAACCGGCAACCTTCCAGCCACAGATCCTTAGCCACAGTGCCACCGCTCTGCCCAATCATTGATCATTAGGGTCCAGCCTTACAAGAGGTCTACTAAAAAAAAGCCAAAAGACCCGGTCCTGAGTTTAAGTGTGAATCGGTAATCGATCAAAAGAACTTGAGCGCCAACAAGAGACTTCCTTTCAAACCAAGAGAAAGGTGGTCACTCTGCCCCGGAGCTGAGCGCCAGTCAGTGGTGAGAGGGGAGCTCGAGCCCATTCAGACTGCTGGGTAACCACAGGGGTACCTCACTGCGGCTGTATTAGAAATCTGTCACCAAACACCTGACGGCTCTAATGAGACTTAATAAGGGGAAGAACATGCAGTAAAATTAATAAAATAAACGCATGCACTCACTCTGGAAATCAAAATTATTTAAATTACTTCCTTTAATCAAAGCCAAACATGCAAAGAGGTTTTCTATTAGCTCATCAAGAGGTCGTACTAGTGTCTACAGGGAGCAAAACCCAAATGTTTGTACCGCAAAACCATGGATAACACCTGCAGATTCCCCACTTTCACAAACTTCTATTTTATCCACCTTAAAAGGAAAAAGAACAACTATCCTCACAAATTTAACATATTTTGGTATGGATAGATCAGCTGTTCTCAGTGCCCTACAATACGTGCATAGTTTTAAAGTTCCAAAATGTATCCGGATCGTAATATAACTCCTAGAAATTAATGGATGTCATTTATTTATAATTGTAATATTTCTATTATAATTCTAGCAATAGAATTGCTGTCCTCTGCCTTGACTCACAGTTCCTCACACATTGCCGATATATTCAGGTAGCAAATCACCAGTTTATTGTCTTGAGTGCAATCCCTTCCCTTTCTATTTTTGGAAGCTGTGAAGATTATTTAATTGTTATATTGCATATATTGTATAAATACTATGTTTTAAATGCAGTCCTTTTCAGATCCATATAGTATGAAGAATATCTCTACATCATAAAGCCTCAATGCCTGTCTCATTGAGTGTCTGCTCCTCTCTGTATCCTGGCTCACTTTCGCTCACCATCTCACAGGCTTAGCCCAGCCCAGGACCTAGCAGAGAATGAAGGTCAGGGGAAAACAGGATTAGACACAGAATTATACACCAATGTGACTTTATGAGGTGGAACGCCAGAGACAGAGGGAGAGAAAGATTCCTCACGTGTGTGATGTTTCCTAATTGACAAACATCTACAAGCCTTCAGTGAACCATGCTGCCAGACTGACCATCATGGTCTTGACCAATAGTTTCTACCCACATGCCCATCATTAACAACCAACTGCCCAATGCCTCAGAATTCAATGCACCTCTGCGCTCTGCACATTTTACTTGACTACTGCGGATTTATTGTCCTGCGTGTTTAATGTTCTGTAATGTACTGTGCACATTGTGTGAAGGTGTTGTCTTTTGTACTGTACACATCCAAAGAGAACAGCGCAAATGCAAATTCCAATGTACATGTACATGTGGCACGTAAACTCCTCTCTCTCTTCACTTCCTGCTCTGGCCTGCCTGCTCACTGACAGAGACGTAAAGAGAAAGCCATACAGAGTCTTTTTATGTTTTCTGAAAACTCCCCCTGTCCCCTGGATGGTGGGAGGAATGTAGCAGTGCACTCTGAGCAGAGGGTTAGAGATGCTGGGTAAAGCTAGGAAATCAGTATCAAACACACCCTGGAGTTCATCCACGTCTCCTAATTGTCAAAACACTCTGAGCACTCAGGTATTTAACCGATCAGATCAATTAACTGCACAGACCTCAAGAGACCTGTATTACTGAATGCAGCTTTTGCATTCCCACAAAAATGTTATCTGTTTAGATTGATCAGGACTTTGACCAATTAACTAATTAGTAGCTTAAGCAGCATCGAAAACCCTGAGGACTCTCCCTGTTTGAGGCCCATTCACTGAGACCCCACTGTTTTTCGCGTGCTTCTGTTTACGCCAAAGTCACGCGGCACAATGACAAAAGCCAAAGCCTAGTGGTCTCACGTGGGGGGGCAAGAACAACAGCAAGAAGCACAGACCTTCTCGGGCTCCTCCAGGGCGATGACCTTGACGATGCTCTTGTGCTTGTTGAGCTGCGTCTTGAAGGCGTGCTCGAGCTGCACGTTGTACTTCATGAAGAGCACGTAGGAGCAGTACCCCGTCACCAGCAGCATGCTCTCCCACCACATGATGGCGTTGTCCAGGAAGAAGACGATCAGCATCATGAGGTCCAGGATGTAGAAGGAGACGTCCCGGAATAGCGGCCACCAGGTGAGGTGCAGGATCTCGCGGGAGAACAGGGCGCACATCCCGATGACGAAGAGGATGTTGAAGACGGCCGAGCCCACGATGGTGCCGATGCCGATGTTGCTGTGCGAGATGAAGACCCCGATCAGGGAGGTGAACAGCTCGGGCGCCGACCCCCCCGCCGCCATGAAGGTGGCGCCGGCCACGTCGTCCGAGATCTCCAGCTTGTCGGTGATGACGCCCAGGGCCGGCACGAAGAACTCGTCGCACACGATGGCCAGGGACACGAACATGTAGATCATCCCGAAGATGTGCAGCGACACCCAGCCCTGGCGCCTCTGCTCCACCGAGAAGATGTCCTCCGGGTACTCGGCCTTCAGGTGCGGCATGCCGCCATGAGGGGGCGCTGTGGCGTTGGGCACGGGGCTGGGGGCGGCGGTGGCGTTGGGCGGGGGCGTCGGGCTGGGGGGGGAAGTGGGCTTCGGCGGCTCGGGATCCACGTAGATGCAGTGCCGGATGTTAGTCCGGTTCAGGGTGGTGGGGGCGGGGGGGGTCGTCATCGTCGTCGTCATCTTGGTCGACGGGGAGGCCTCAGTGGTGGCCGCAGAGGCGGTGCCCTCTGTGGTGTGGCTAGAAAGCTCCCTGCCGTCCACTCCCAGCTCGCTCTCCACCTCCACATCTCCCTCACCTGCCGTCCCAGGAGGGCTCCCTGCGTACCGCTCTGTCCAGGGGGCTGAGGCTGTGGGGCTGCTCTTGAAGGAAAGCTGGTAGACGTAACAGATCAGGACGCCCAGCAGGATGAAGACAATCCGGTTCCACTGCAGTCTCTTCCTCCTCGACAAATACATTTTTCACCCCGACTCTTCGTCTGATTAATGCCTAATTATTATGCATAAAAATGTTTTTTTTGTTTGTTTTTGTTGTTTTTTTTTGTTTCTTAAGAAAAACTATTCTGGCGACGACTCCCCCATACAATCTGTAGAGCACCCTTCAGGCCAGCGCCAAAAAAAAAAAAGAGAAAAAAAACTCAGGTTGGTAAGAAAATGGAACAACTCCAGCGCTCTCGGGTTCACCTCATCCTCAGCGGGTGGTCCTCATTTTCCCAGCAGTCGCAGCCTGTGGAACAGAGGGGTTATCAAGCTCAGTCAAATCCACATAACAGATCTGAAATGTAGTCGGTTCTGAACAGCTGAGTTATCCGGGCAGTTTCCAGCACACGGCCCTGGAGAAGCGCGTGTCCGCGATGAAAGGAGCGCGCCGGCCAATGAATAGGGGTTTCAAAGCGCTCAAGGTGAAGGTACAGAGACACCTGTTACTATGGCTACAAATAATATCATCCTCCGCTCCTTGTTAGATGTTACATGTACAAACTAAAATCGCGATATAAAACAAAAAAATGTGAGGGGCATATTAACGCATCCTATGTCATTAAACCAAAGTAAAATAAATACTTTTGCCAATCCTCCCGTGAAAAGATATCCAAGGCACAGAAACCGCCTCCAAAGCCGCTTAGTGAACAAAACCCAGAGATGTGTGAGAGATTGAGTGCGGGGTTAACTGCATTTTCCTTTTCCGTTCCCCCTATATCAATGAAATTTTCCCATACAACAGTTAACAGTCCGCTTATGAAGTTAGTAAAAAAAACTTCAGAACAAAATGCATTAGAAACATTCTGTAATAGTTATTTTCAAGGCAGCTCGGTCCATGTAGTGGTTACGTATTCCCGAAGCTTTGATATTCGTTTTTTTTTTTTAGAGAGCGACACGGTGGTTTAGTGAGAGATGGAGGTGGAAGTTACGGCTCACCTGTGAGACGGCGTGACGGGTCAGCGGCGTCTCTGCCGAGAGTGAGAGCTCTTTCCCGGCGAGTCCAGGACGGTTCCGCGGTTCTGTGTCTCTGGGACCCTGGTGAGACTCGCCAGCGTCTCTCCCCACAGGGCTGCAGCTACAGAACACACGCCAGCAGCGGATCCCCACACTGGATCAGTATAATACCCAGAGTCTTTTAAGAAGATTACGTGTTGCTCCTTACACTCTCATTAGCCTTGGGACAAATTTTCATTGAGCTTCTCTTGTGTTTTTTTAACCCCCAGTTTGGTCCTTTCTGTTCCACCTCGCACGCACTAGCCCCCCGAAGCGATGACTCGCCCAGACGGATACCCACAGCGTGGTGCTAAACGGAGGGCGACGGACATCCCCGCTATGTAATGTGTAGAGCCGCTGAAAGGTCAGTCCGCCAGGCGGGGGTTTTAGAGAGTAACGACGTTAAAGTGATACCTTGTAGTCTGGTCTGCTGAATGAAACCTGAACTGAGACGCACCCCGCGATCAAGAATTGTCAAGCTGCGCTGCAAATAGCCGCTGCCGTCCATTCAGAAAACAAATAAGAAAAATACAACTACGAAGCGATGAGAGGACACTGACATCTCGTTGGAAAAATTCTAGTCAGAAAGTATATACCAAATATATTGTTTGCCTGATACCTTGCTAGTAAAATAGCTTACAGTACCCTGTACACTACAGATAAATAAACGTAAGACTTAATAAAAGAGCTTTCTGTCTCAGAATAATATCCTGTCGGTATTTGGCATTTAAAAACGCCTCGCTGTGCACGACTAACAGCTTTGTTTCTGAAGACCACACACGATAGATACTCAATTAAAATAATAACCGTTCATTCACTTTCCAGCACAGACAGTACTGGGTGGTGAGGCTGACCCCTGAGGTAGCACTGAGTGCATTCTGCACGTTAGTGCAGACACTTCTTTCTTTTTTCCCCACAGATTAGAACAGGCATCTTTTTTGTTTAAGCTGTTATGTCCTGCCCCCAAGAGGGATACATCCTCACATTTGATCGAAGGAATGAATAGTTTTCCAGATGTGTTCATCCTATGATAATCGTTTAAATAAATGTTCACAGCATACTTCCGAATGTATAACTTATACGTCTGAAAATATTTCAACATTTCATGTTTTTTGTGGCAAGGTGCTCCGGCGTTCTGTGCCTACAAGAGCCAAGGACCAGGCGATGCGCAGCGAGAGGCCAAGTCGCAACAGCCCCGGTCTGACAGGCCAGGTGTATTGGGAACGAGGGACTATCGCGGCAAGAATATACGTGATAAACGCTCCTGCCTTGGAAAACTTTTTTGTTTTAATTGGATGACATTTTCCTTGTGTGTAGTAAAGAAATCACCCATCGGGCTTGCTACTATAGAAGTACAACGCCATACCGCTTTATTTGCGTTCTTGCGGTTCCATCTAGTGGAGATACAGACTACATGCATGGGGAGACGCGGGGCTTGTGTGTGATTTGTGCTCAGAAAGACGCTGAAAATGTTCTGGTCGTATACCATGAAGAACCATCATTATTTTTCTGGCTTTCGCCTTGTCGTCGGATTGAATTCAACCCTCTAAAAAGACTGCTGTTTCAAGTCTGTTACAGCCCCTTAAAGCAAAGTAGGGCGAAAACTCAATATTTATATTTAATTAAAATGTTTATGTGACATTTTAGTTAACGTATCGACTGTTAATAAATTAATAAGGCTGTATTGGTCGAGTTCAGTCCGCTCATTACAGCTCATTACTACTCGTTAACAACCTCCTAATGTACTTGCTATTATCTGTTTTCACCAGCAGGTGGCGCCGTTAAAACTATTTGTTTAACAAACTGTGGTCAAGATTTTGCATCCCCTCATACATTTTGTAACTTGTCTTCTGCTCACAAATTTAAAGTTATGGCAAGATGTTGATAATCCGTAAAGTGTTGTCATGTGTGATTTTTTTAGGTCATTAGAGTTTCGAGAAATCTCTCGTCTTCGGTATTTGTCGATGTAGGAACCAATGTTCTCACTGCGTGTTGCTGTACGTGCGTGGCACAGCGCTAGTCGGAGGCTGCGAGGGAAGGAGTCCTGTTTTTCGGTATTTACAGTACCATTCAGAAGTACAAAAATATATTTACTGGCATGTGTGTATTTTACGTGGGTAATTAGATACATCTTTGCGTTTGTTAACCAAGTGGTAATATCTTAAATGGACTATTAACCTCGGAGAAATCATCGTTTAAAGTTAGAGACACGCAAGCTCATTGAAAGGTTGCGAGTATAAGTTTCCCGATAATCGTTCCGAATAATTATTATTAGCAAACGCGTTTGGCGATGTATTGCTTTGTACATTGCTAAGGGCATTTTGTAAGAGTTCCTCTTTCTACCTGATAGAGGGAGTGTACGGTGATAGATTACTCTTTAAAAAAAGCTTCGATGTAGTTGGTTGTACTTCTGTGAAAATACTTTGCTTGCACTTCTGTTGCAGGTGAGCGTCTTCGTGTGAGGAGGTTTAAATCGTTCATGTAAAGCGAGTCTTGGCTCAACAAGGAGTGGCGAGTGCTGATTTAAATTATATGAACCGGAGTTGGACACCCTCACATGCTAACGCTGCGTTTATTAACCCAGTGGAACCATTTCGTATTTTTTTCACGATGTGAAAAATATAATATGGACTAAATAAAACAACACACTTTGCGATTTAATATTTTGTTTTTTACTGAAGCGGTGAATGCATTTGTTTTTCGTTGTTATTTTTTCACGTTCTGTCGTGTGCGCCCCGATCATCTGCAGAAAGCTCTGCTTTCTCCGATTATCCGTCTCTGCTCACTGTTATGATAGAAGTCACTTCTGCAGGCAGGCCTTTGTACCTGAACATGAGAATAATGGAGAGTCGTGGAGGTCTGTGTCCTTAAACCCGTCCAACACTCTCACAGTCAGAGATAATGCGATATCTCTAGCGTGGTTTCAGCAAAGACGCTCAGGGCAAAACACATCTCTCTAGTTATTTTTTGCTTTTACTGAATACTGAGTCAGAGAGAATAAAAATCCAGAAGCCTTAAGGTCTGATGACATGAATGGGACTTGGGGAAGATGGGAAGCCCTTGAACAGGTATCCTGACCCATTGCCTCTCCCTGTCGAACAGCACGGAGCAGAGGGTTGCCGAGACGCGGAGACAGCCGGTCTGATTTTGGCGCGGGGCAGGGGACCGCAGAGGCATCGCCGCCATGCCGACCGTGGTGCTGATGGACGTGTCGCTGTCGATGACGCGGCCGGTGCCCCTGGAGGGCACTGAGGAGTTCCAGCGCAAGAACCTGGCGGCGCACGGGCTGACCATGCTGTTCGAGCACATGGCCACCAACTACCGGCTGGAGTTCACAGCGCTGGTGGCCTTCTCCTCTCTGTGGGAGCTCATGGTGCCCTTCACCCGGGACTACAACACGCTGCAGGTACGCCCACCTCCTGCACAACAGCATCCCAGCTCCCCGACATCGTGTGGCTGCTCTGTCACATGAATCTAAATGCTAATGCTAAAGATGGTGTGAGCATCTCTATACAAGATCAGAAATCAACCGCTTTTATTTGACAAATTCCAGCGGTAAGCATTTCCACTGGACACTTTATGAGGTTGCAGAGGAACAAGTAAAGGTTTATTCCATGCTGAAAAGAGAAGAAAAGAAACGCAATGTTTCAGCTGTGGAGCCTCCTGGGACGTTCTGTCTCTGTTTTTCCCCTTACAGGATGGAATAAACCTTTCCTTGTTCCTTTGCAGCCTACGCACGCTGACCAAGCTCCCTACTTGAACTTTATGAGTTGCCTCCTCTTGTGCGGCAGTGGCAGCGCTGGTTGATGTGCGCAGAGTTAATTGTACTGAATCTGCCCTGTGCTGTGTGCAGGAGGCCCTCAGCAATGTGGAAGATTACGATAAGACGTGCCTGGAGTCCGCTCTGCAAGGAGTCAGCAATATCGTGCAGCAGGAGTGGGGCAGTTCCTGTCCCTGCCAGGTGGGGCGCTCTGTTACCGTACGATAGGCGTCGTTTCTCTGTGTTTAGGTACGGCGTAGCAGCAGTGTGGAGGTGTGGTGTGGGCTCTGGGCTCAGAAGAGGAGGAGTGCGGGTTCAGATCCCCGGAGGAGCTGTGCCTTTGTGGCCGTGATCAAAGGGCTTCACTCGGACTGCTCCAGTAAAATTCCCAGCTGTATAAAAAAGGGTGCAAACTGAAGCTGCCTGGGATTAAAGCATAAGCCCTGTGAAACATGGATCGATAAAGGTTATTTTGCTTTCATTGAGCTCTGGTCTGCAGCAGAACTGGAAAAAGCCTTAAGAGTTTTCCATTATTCTCTAGACTGGAAGTGGTATTCTGGGTTGTGTCTGCTGGTGTTGCATAACCAGGCAGCCTGTGATTTAACAGGAGTCAGGAGGAGTTTACCTCCGCCTGTGAAGTGCCACTGGCTCGGCTCAGGGCCCTCTTTGTCCTCATACGCGCCTCTCCTGTCCTCTAGGTGGTGCTGGTGACGGACGGGGCCCTGGGCATTGGGAGGGGCTCCCTGCGCCACTCCCTGCTCACCCTGAAGCAGCGCGGCGAGGACAAGAAGTTCCCTCTGCCCTTCCCTTTCCCCTCCAAGCTCTACATCATGTGTATCGCCAGCCTGGAGGAGGTAGTTCTTCCCGGACATCGCATCACCCTTACGTACTGCAAAGACCTGTTATGTGGTCAGAGTGGTGCAACCATGCATGTGTTTCTGGGTCTGTTTTAGTAAGAGACGAGACTTGAATGGGTCCTTTAAATATATATTTCCAAGGTGGTGCATTTTCATTTTACATGTAGAAAAGAGTGCGAGTTAAAATAGTTGTCGGGTGAAGCTGTGCTGTGTCTGCGCTGCCCTCTGGTGGAGGTGGGGGGAGTTGCGGGGCACGGTGGTCTGTGTCGAGTGATGCTGAACTCCATTGCAGCTGCAGAGCACCGACGCCCTGGACAACTTGGAGCATCTGGTGAGCGTGAATGGTGGGGACGGGCAGGTGTTCGCTGTGGAGGGGCCGCTGTGCCTGAAGAACGTGCAGGCCATGTTTGGGTGAGTAGTGCTACGGGCCGCACCCTCGCGCTCTGCTTTCAGAAATGCGGAACTTAAAATGGTTTGCAGACAAGTGTTTCAGCACGTGTGCCTGGTTTAGCGGCACAGTGGTAAGGGCTCTGCAGTGGCACGTGCAGAAACTGCTGCGATTTGTTTTTCAGTCATCTCGCCAGTATCAGACGTATTCGCTGGTGGAGCCTCATATTTCTAACTGGCTCGTTGCTGCAGAAGCAGGGATCGTTTTCAGCACGATGCTGGTGCGGAAGCAAGCACTTTGAGATGCTTGATCTTTTGAAGGAATGTACCCTATTAGTTGCCTTCCTGATTAGTGTCTTGTTCGGCGTTCCTGTTAGACTTGTAAATGAAACGGGAGCACCCGGGGGGGTGCGGACCCCCTGGAATCAGCTGGCGGGGGTGTGGGTGACGTCTGTCTCTGGTCCCGCAGGAAGCTGATCGACCACGCGTACTCGCCCTTCCACGCCGTGCTGCGCTGCGGGCACCTGTCCTCCGACGTGCAGGTGTTCCCCCGGCCCGAGCCCATCCTGATCGACGAGGAGGTGGACCCCCTCCCCAAGGCCATCGCCACGGGTACCGGATCGCCGCGGAGCGCTCCCCCCCTCCCGCTTCCAGCCTCCCCCTGGGCCCCTGAAGCCAATTCTGTTTTCTCTGTGTGTGTGTGTGTGTGTTGCAGATCTCGAAATTGTGGGGTTCATAGAGATTGCGGACATTTCCAGTCCTCCGGTTCTTTCCAGACACCTGGTGCTGCCTATCGCCGTGAGCAAAGGTCAGTTAGTCTCGCTGCTCGTGTTAGGTGACAGAGGAGGGACTTTTCACAGTGGTGCATTTTAATAAAGCGTGTAGGATTAGACTTTCTTTCCTGATTCTGGTGTAGAAATGCTCTCTTACCAGCACACTGTATTTATCTAATAAAATACAACGTAGGTGTGGCCTGACTTTGTGTTTTTTTTTTATCGCTTTCGATGGTTGCTTACCAAGGCAGAGTCATTAAATACTTGGAGGTTCTGCGGTGTGACTTTAGGAAATGGTCTCACCTGCTCCCTGGGGTGTCCTGTGGTTGGTTACAGAGGGAGATGAATTAGGTGCGAGTGCTCCTGATGACACGGAGGATGAGAACTCGGTCAATCAGATGGCAGGGAAAAGCCCAAATTTCTGTGTCCTGTTGCACGGCAGCCTCAAAGTGGAAGGAATGGTGGCGCTGGTCCAACTGGGGTAAGGAGGCAGGAAGTAAGAGTCCGGTCCCAGATCCATTTCGGGTCTTAGGAACGCCAGGCGCTTCTACACACTGTTGAGCTGAAGCAGAACATATACATCCGTAGGCAGGTACCCATATGTCTTTTGCAGATTCATTTAAAATAAGCATGACATGTCTGAAATGTGATATGGCTCAGGCCGCTAGGAAGTGCGACGCTTATTTCCGTTCTTGACCTGTGTTGTTGTGCAATGTTTGGAGGCAGTGAATGGGTTAGTAGCTGAGCTGTCGCTGCATGCTCGTATCATTATTCAGCAAGCTGCAGGTTATATAGGAGCTGTGTTGGGGGTGACTGGATGGTTTTCTTGGTCTCTGCTAACAGAACGGGTTTCGTCTTTGATTTGCCAGGCTGGACTGGTACGGCATGCTGTACTCCCAGGCGGACAGCAAGAAGAAGTCAAACCTGATGATGTCGCTGTTCGAGCCAGGTCCTGAGCCGCTGCCCTGGCTGGGGAGGATCTCCCAGCTCGGGCCCATTTCAGGTACTGGTCACTAGAGCACGCTACCTTGATGGCGCCCCGCTGAGTGGCAATACGTGATAGAAGTGGCCTTTTTCTGTAGATGCCAAAGAAAACCCCTATGGAGACGACGACAGCAAAAGCCCCTTCCCCCTGCAGCCCAAGAACAAGCGCAGCTACGCACAGAACGTCACTGTGTGGATCAAGCCCAGCGGACTGCAGGTACGCCATAGCTGCCAGCCGGGAGGTTGAGTTCACTAGTAAGCTGTGCTAGACAGTCACTTCCAAGATTAGAGTTTCTGTCTTTTGTCTTGATGTCGATTGTAGCCAAAGACCTAGGCTCATTTTTCATTCTGTGTGCCTTGCGAGAATTAGCGCCCCTTCCTCTTTCTCACCAGACCGATGTGCAGAAGATTCTGAGGAATGCCAGGAAGCTGCCAGAGAAGACCCAGACTTTTTACAAGGTGAGTAACCACAGGCAGGTTGCCAGCTGTTGTCTGAGAGTGGAAAGCTCTGGTCAGTCTTCCAATTTGGGAATTTAACCGCGCTTCTGGGTAATATCCTGCCGTTCTTTTCCCTACTCAAGTAAATGGGACTCTGGTTGAGTGGGCATGTGGGGTGTCCAGGAGAGCAGGACCACTACTGTGCGCTGAACATCAGGCCCACTCTGGATCTCTTCCAGTGACCTTCACAGTGCTTTCCTTCTTTTTGGAGAAGGAATGTCCTTAGTTCCCATGCCAGGTGGCTTAAAAAGAGTATAATTAAAAGTGTCAGTCTTTCTACCAACACATGGGCTGTTTAATCAGTTGACATTCATTCGTTTTCTAAATCTGTGGTTGTATCGAAGAGCTGTACTGGAGCAGAAGGGCAGGTGAGGTGAATCCTCCTTTTTTAGTGATACAAATTTTTTTGTACCCATGCTTTTCGTTATCCAGCACAGGCTGGGACTTGGGCTCTGCCCCCTGCATTACTGGGGGCTGTTGGGTTGTTAGGTGAGCGAGGGGGCGCCCCGGTGCCCCCTGTCTCTCTTCACGCCCGCTGTCCTTGCGCACCTCTGCCCCCAGGAGCTGAACCGGCTGCGGAAGGCGGCTCTGGCCCTGGGCTTCTGGGAGCTGCTGAAGGGGGTGGCGGAGCTGCTGGAGCGCGAGTGCACGCTGCTGCCCGACACGGCGCACCCCGACGCCGCCTTCCAGCTCTCGCACGCCGCGCAGCAGCTCAAGCTGGCCAGCACGGGCGACTCGCAGTACGCCGCCTTCGCCCACAACATCACGCCCATGCCCACCGACTTCTCCGGGGGCGCCGGCAGCGGGGACAGGATGTAGAGAGGCCCGAGGGCCCCGCCGCCCATCTCTCTGAGGCCCGGAGGCCGATCCCGCTCGCCGCCGGCGCAGGCTGTTCGCGGGCCTTGGCGAAAGGGCGGATTCAGGATTGAAAAGCTTTGCGTGAGCAGAGCGGAGACTCCAGACCTCCAGTTGCCCAACCGGAAAGGAACGCCTCCCATTTGAACCTCTCCCCACCCTGCCCACTGCTGACGTCTTCAACACTGGGCCTGAGGATTCCCGATCCCAGTACAGGAAACACGGAAGACACGGACACGCCTCGGGAACCAGGGCGGCCAGACAGCTTAGGAAAAGCAAGGACTTCTGAAGTAGCGAATCCGAGGAATGAGTCTCGGCTGCAGTGCAGTAGGTGTGCAGTCTGTCTTGCTTAATGGTTAGTGAGAAATGTGAGGTCACAGTCAAGGTCTTTTATATTGTAAGGTTTTTGTACATATTTTTTTATAGATATATTGTAATTAAAATAGAAAAACAAGAAATTGGGTGGATTTTTAGTTCTGAAAGAAAGTTGGGGTGAATCTGCAGGCCTCCCCTTCTCTGTGAGGGGACTGGTCATGTGGTGCTCAGAGCAAGGAGTGAGTGGCACTGGGGCCTCCCTGAAACAGATATACAAGTATTATTCATTGGGCTACATTGACAGATACAGTTCTCAATTGCTGAACAGCCTGCAGGATTCAAATAATGGACTTCTTAAAGGGAGCATGTGTTGATTTTTATCATCTTTATTATTTTTTGGTTCTGGTACATTTTTGTAATAGGTTGTGCCATTCAGACATTCCATAACAACAGCCTCAATAGTTAGTCAAAATAAAAAGACATGATTCCAGTGTTTTTTTACTATAAACCTAGTTAAAAATGTCCACTTTCCCTGAGGTTCCTCATCTCCTGCGCTCACCTCCCTATATTACTCCGATACATTCCGGACGGATGAAGGATGAAGGAATGATGCCCAGTTTGGGATCTGGCCACGGGAACGAGGACCTGCTCTGATTTCTCTAGTGGTTTTTTACTTGATCTCCGCTTCCCCAGATTCTTTTATTGAATACACAGAGAATGAATTGTACATACACACGTATATAGATCCACACTGGAAAAACAGAAAAAACTTTCATCGTTCACAACATGATTAAGGAAAGTATTTTTGATCACAATTTAATTCCTGAACGATCAGACAAGGCCGATTTAAAGAGCTTTAAGAAACTCTGCATTTGACATTTAAACACAAAAGAGGGATACTGTTTTTACACAGAAATAAACAGGCATGCAGTGACTTGAAACCTGTGCCGTTAGGTTCCCTGAGGATTCTGTTTGTAGATGCAGATTTGTCTTTAGTTGTGCACCACAGGACAGCCTGCTCCTCTCTTCAGCGTCTTCCCTCAGCAGACCTGCAGCCACAACCCCTGCGTCTGCACGGGTCTGGCGATCAGAAAATCACAAAGCGGTAGCCTGTTTAGGAGATGTTTCTTCTGCATGTATGTGGGAAAAAAAACAACAACAAAAACAACCGAACAACGAAAAACCTCAAGAAAACCTTCCTAATGTTGTGAAACACACTCTGCCTTCATTGCGATACTTGGCCCCCCTGCTTGGCACTCCTCGTTAACCTGAGATGCATTGTCTGTATGTCTACATCATGTATGTATGTCTATTTGTATTTGTATCTACATCAAATCAATATGCTGCAGAAGTTCCACCTCCTGCACTGACTTATCTATATATATATATTTAAGAGCCACAGAGATGGAAATGTAGACATAAATGTCATCAACTATTTTGGGCATCGCCGGTAAGTCATGCATTACTGCTTATCTAATTGAAACAGCTCGTTGCATGCTAGTAAAATAACTAATTAATGCCTTATGAGCCAAACACAGGCTGTGCATTAGTAGTGATAAAAGGTATTAAGTAGCTGCCTTTATACAGTAAAGTACAACAGTTGTAAGTGCTTAATACAAGGCTTACGTGTGACTCCTAAGATAGTGCTAACAAAATGTCTTTTTCTGTAAAAGAGTTGTTGCTATTTGGTTCAATATTGCAATTCTTTAACTTTTCCTGTATTGCTGCTAGCTATTGTACCATACACACTAAAACACTGTAGTGTGAAGACACTGGCCATGAATGTGCAAAAGAAGGTATGTGACTTTTACACACTCGGTTTGCAGAAAATGTGCATTTCCCAAAGTGCTAAGACCGGCACCCATGCTTCTAATACTGGCTTAGTCTTCTGATACTTGCGTTTTCTCTAAACAACTACACTATCAGTCTGCATGCACTTCAGCTGCCCTTGTTAGATGTTGACACCAGCTGAGCGCAGCAGTCATTGTACTAGTTTGTCCACAGTGCTTTATCTGTGCCTGTTTGCTAAGATGGGGTGGACTGATAGTTCAGGGTTACATCCCACAGCGAGGCAGCTGTTCTCTGCCAGGCAAGGCTATAGCTTCACCCTAGGCCACTATGGGAACACTATGTTGGACTTGTGGCCTGTGCGTAGTAGAGTTGCAAAGGCTTGGTTGGGGTTTCCAGTTCACACCAGGTACCGAGAGCAGGCCAGTGGAGGAAAGGGCAGGAATGAGGGGAGGAGAGGGGCCGTCAGGCTGTCTGTCTTTTAAAAGAATCTTGTCAGTGATACAGACAGAGCATCTGCTTTCTGTGCATCTAAAAAAAAAAACCTATGGTATTTTTATGTGGGTTGTTTTGCATTGCTTCTATTCTGTTTTGAATATTTTTATCATGCAAAAATGTTCTGTAAAAAGGAAAAAAATGCACTTATGTTATTGAGTCCACTGAATCGGGGAGGAATGGAGCTGATCTAAAATGGAGACACTAGGCCAGCTTGGGCGGTTGCTGCTCTAAAGGTGATGTTGCTGTAGCAGCTGTGGCAGAAGCAGCCTGCTCATGCTGGCTCGGTCCCACTGACCCAAAGGCGGCACAGGTTTAGTTCGCCTTCTTCTTCTTGGTCCTGAATCTTCTCCTCCTCTGTTTGTAGAGGTGACGGAAATTAATGAACAAGCCTGCAACACAGAATAATGCAGAATTCAGATTGTTTTTCATTTGTACAGAACAGATTGACTTGAGCACCAGCAAAGAGCCTTGTAGCTGTGGTCGGAGATGAATCACTGAGAACAGTGCAAAGCCCTTGAACACTACAGACTGCTTTTAATTTTGTACTGCACCCATGAACTGTATATCATCATCATCAAGATCCACAACCTCTTTTACTGTACCGATATAAACGCTGTGCAATCCTGCAGTGTAAGGTATGTTTAACCCTGAGAACTTCACCTTATTTTGTTTTTCATTTTGGTTACATCTGAGTTTACTGAGCAAGAACAGCCAGCACAGGTTGTTGTGCAGTTCCTGGTGTTCTTCATTCAAAGTCAATAAAAAACAAGGTGTTGTTCTCACATTCCTTGCCTCCTTTAACACCTGCCTCTAATCCAGCAGAGACAATGGCCTGGGTTGTGTTGGCTGGCCTGCAGGATCTCTATCCTCTCCTTCTGTGGCTCTGCCCAGCAGGTAAGTGTAAGTTAGCACGCATGAAGCCGATGTGTGAGCTTGAGCGCGTGTGGACAGACCTGGGCTCGGCCCGGGACAGCGCACACACTCACCCAGGAACATGAGCACCAGGTAGAGCTGCAGGGTGTAGGAGAAGCTGATGGACAGGTCCAGGGGTTTGGGCACAGTGATGCTGTAAAGCCTGGTCTCATCAAAGATGTGCAGAGACTGGATCACAGCAACCGCTGCAGAAAGGGAATAGAGGGAAGCAAAACGGGTGTAAATGTGGGAACTGGTATAAGAAGCTCACTGTTTCAGTTTAGAATGTAATTTCTGTGACAATTTTACAGTTGCCAAGACTAAGGTCTATATGTGCAGAACAGGAACACGCTGCTCCCTCCCTTCGGCACCAAATTGATGGCAAGTTAAATCACTAAGCCCAATTACCTTCTGCCAGCACTCCAAGGGGATAAAGAGGCATCCAGATGGTGTACCTGAGCCAGGTAAGTAGCTTCCACTCTGTGTCGATGCAAGCAAGCATGTAGTAAGGGTACCTGGACAAAGAAGACAGGGGTGTCAGAGGCAGTGTGATCTGAAAATCTCCAAGGTCCTTAGAATGACTGCTGGATCCATGACAATAGGATTATGTTCCAATCTGCTCCTCAGCTACAGAAACCATGGTACTGATGATGTCTAACAGAACGCTGGGAGTGACTGTCTGGCTGACTCGGCACAGTCCTAAATGCCTGATAGAAGCAGATGACAAAACAGCCTCGTAACTTGTATCACTACAGAGACAATGTGAATTCTCCTTAGTTTGTCCAATTATTATATGTTAAAAGAAAAAAAGAGCAGAAAGCCTGAATAATGAAGCCATCACACTTCTCTCTTAAAGGGCGGTGGTCTTTGCTAATCTACAGGCAGACTGGCTTGGTCACCTAACACCTTAAATCTTAAGGCGTGGGAATGAAACGCTTCTGTTAAGCAATTCTCAACTACAGGGAAAAATAAATAACTAATTCATAATTAGAAGTGATTAATTACCATACCCTTCTCATTATTTCACTGCAGGGTTCTTAAGTGCATTTCTTAAACTATCAATACATAAGATGCACATTGCAAATGACTGGAAGGACTGGTATTTGGCTGTCCCTGTATTAGGGGACGCACTGTCAGACTAATCTCTGGCTTGTCATTTAAAGGCACAATATGAGCTCAGGCCCTGATGAGGAAGCTGCAAGTCTTCCTCCTCTCCTCCCTCCCCTGCTCTGTCCTTGAATCAGCATAATACCGCCTGTCCTTGAACTTGACGAGGAAGAGGAAAACCGACCTGAAGATCTCGATGATGCTCCACATGTAGAACACGAAGAACACCACCGCCTTGTTCTGCATCTCCTCAAGGCTCCCGAAGATGACGAACAGGATGACGTTCCTCCCAACAACCTGCAGGGGGCGGTATTATGCTGATTCATATTTGCTGCACAGAGCCAGGCTGCCCTATGATCTAAGCATGCTCAGGTTATAGGGCAACAACCCCCAGTAAGATGACCTCCCCTCATGATCTTTGCATTGGCTTGGATATTTTATTAATGTGAATTATCATTAATTATCCTTCATTACAGCCTATTACAAGGATACTTTCTGATCACTTTGACTCCACATAAGAGTATATACAAAGACAGTTCTACAAATCACACATCTTGATTTCCTACTGTGTGATTTCCAAAACGGTTCTTAAAAAAATCCACATCACTTTTGGATGGTGTGGTCAACGTGTGTCAATTCTATCTGCCCAGATGTGAGAAAGTCTCCATAATACTAAAATCACTTTTAAATCATGTAATTTTGAAGGAATCCATCAACCAGACTGATTTTAGTATTATGCCAACCTGTTTAGGAGAAACTGAAGTACTTTTACTTTGAATTTGAGAGTTTACTTCGGCCATTCGGTTTCATTGCCTGGATATATCAAAGCCCCACATTGGTCAGTAGGAGGTTCTGGGTTAAGAGAACCGAGCGCACCTGAATCATGGCTGGGAAAACCCCAGTCCTGACCAGCCCCAGGGCAGGATTGATCACCTCTGCAACAGCCAGGATCTGGCAGAAGTACATCATGTCTGCGATGGTATGGAATGTGTCATAGAAGGAATCTGGCCAGCGAAGAGACACAAGAACATAATTCTTTACTTTAAGTCTTCAGAGGACATTAAAAGTCATTAGAAGATGTTAGTTTTCTTTCAACCCTGTCTTAAACACTAATAAAAAAGAAAAATGAAAATTGTCTGCTTTTTAAAAATTGAATTCAATCAACCCCTAGTACATTGTTGCAGCTCTTCCTTTAGTTTAGGTGCACAATTATAGCCAGCTAAAAATAGATTTTTGACAATTTTGATTTCGATTCGCAAATTTACATGGTTTGCTTTAAGTGTGAGAAACCAGTTTTAAAAGAATGTTTTTAGGCATCTGCTGGTATTTTTTCAAACTCTTAAAAATTGAAACAACTGCTGTTCAGTTGTAAGATAAATAATTTCAATAAACTGAACTGAACTCCACCTACAGACAGACCATCACACGTGATCTGGGCTGTGACAGAAGCCTGCAGAGAGAGTCTGCATAAAGTCCTGTCATGTTTAGTTTAAGAGCTCAGATCTGTGACTTAACTGTCTGAGAACACAGACAGGAGACTAAGAGGGAGCTGAAAGCCCCTGCCACAGTTCCAGCAAACTTCACGAGTCACTGCCTCCCTGTGACATGCTACAGAAGACGCTGCACTGTAACTTCTGTCTGAAAGCCATTTTCATGTGTCCAACACACAGGGACTGACAAGTTCTCATCACTGTCCCAGGGGCCAGGGCACTGAAGGGCTATCACAAGGAACAGTTCCCCGCACAGCACATTTCCCTTGCCTTGTCCCAGAATGAAGAGGCGCACAGTCATGTTGACGAAGATCCAGGAGAAGCCCAGGAACTGCACCAGGTTGTACATGAACAGATAGCCTCTCTTTAGATTGCTGAACGCTGAAACAATACAAACGTATTATTATTATTAAAGTTATCTGATTTTGACTAACTTTTGTACTAGGTAGAATGTGACCTTCTTAAAGTTCCCCTTTAATTCAACTGGTGAAACAATTTCTCATTCCTTTTGCTCAACCACTGTATACTGTAGTACAGCAGGGTTACAAGCACACACAAAAACAGGTGGATTAGTACTTAAAATAGGAATGAAATCGCCTACCCCTCCTTAAACCCTTCACTTGAAAAGCATCGATATGTAAATGCAAATAATTATTCCAGTTATTCTGTCCCATTGGTATAGCTGGGCATTATACTGAGGCAATCTTAGCAAAGTCCTTCCCTTAAAGTCACAACCGCAGTGCCCTGCCTGAGATTTGAACCCACAACCTTCCAGTCAGAGGTCCAGAGCTCTGACAGCTCCCCCACACAACTATACTTCTTAAGCAACTGGACCTTTAAACACCCTCAATAGAACTACTCTAACAACATTGGTTTGGTGGCTCTGTGGCTAAGGATCTGCGCCTGTGACTGGAAACTTTCCGGTTCGTATCCCACGGGCGGCAGAGGAATCCTACTCCGTTGGGCCCCTGAGCAAGGCCCTTAACCCCAACTGCTCCAGGGCCACCGTGTAAAATGGCTGACCCTGCGCTCTGACCCCAAGCTTCTCTCCCTGTCTGTGTGTCTCATGGAGAGCAAGCTGGGGTATGCGAAAAGACAAATCCCTAATGCAAGAAATTGTAGATGGCCAATAAAGTGATCTGATCTTATTATTGATATTCCTTATTACTCGTGTTTTTTTGCACAAACACACTTTACAGCTGTTCTTCTCGGTACATTAGAACGGGGGTCCCCAATCCTGGTTCTGGAGAGCCCCAATTCAATTAATCTAACAGGTCACCCGTCTCTAAAGATTTGCAACTCCAGCACACTACTGATGAATTAAGACTCTGGTCAGTCAATAGACCTCTTGTCCTTGTGGGCTGAAGAGATTTTAGTCCTATATGATCTCCAAATTAATGAATTTAACACATCACCCGTCTAACTAATTGTAATTGAAGTTTTCAATAGTTATCTACAAGATCTGTTGCACTGGGGTTCTGCAGGAACATGGTTAGAAACCCCTAAATTAGAGTAGGTAAACAATTAGCAAAAAAAAACAGCCTTCTTGCCCTTCAACATGAAAAAGTTAGTGAAAGTTTATCACTTAAAATGAAAAATAGACATAAATGCCCAGATAAATGATAAGAATACTTACGGTCCTTTGGAACTCTAGACTCTATGCTGATCTTGTTGATTTTTTCTTCCTTTAAAAAAAGTAGCATCTGAACATCACTGAGTGCACAAGTACGTTGAGCCATCATTAAAGAAAGACAGCTTTCTTTTCTTATACTGTGGACTGCGCTCGTAAACAAGTAGCCTTGCTTATGTCATACTTTCACTTTGTGCTAAGTTATTTAATGAAACAATGTCATTTTATCCTGATGGGTTAATGTTACATTGTTTACTTAATCCAATTAGCTATTCAATCTTTTAGCACTTAACATTTTAAAATGTGTTGTTCATATTTTAAAACTAATAGCACAACCCTGTTGCATTAGATTTTCCGAACTGAATCCGTGTAGGAAACGTGAGCGTTTAACTTATCGATCCCCACACAGAGAGACACAGGTCTCAAAGTCTGTCCTTCCATTTTCTATCCCATTCTATCCAATACTGGGTTACGGCATAGCCACAGGCAAGGAGCACAAGGCAGGCTACACCCTAGACAGAATGACAGTCCATCACAGGGCAAGCATGGACACACACACACACTCACACCGGGGCCAAAATTCCCAGATGACAATTAACACAAACTTGGGAAGAACATGCAAACTCCACACACACAGCACCCCCAGGAGGTGAACCCAGGGCCCCAGCGCTTTCAGGCAGCAATGCCAAACACTATGCTATCGGGTCAAAACCCTCTCACATAAACAAACATTCAAAGGGCGGGTGTTTTGCCGTTTGGTTTTCTGTGCTGCCGTACGAGTGATATTCTTGCCTTGGCTCGGAGCTCCATCTCGGCGTCGGACTCGTCCAGCCAGCGGTCGAAGTCGGGGGCGAGGAACAGCGGCTTCCTCTCCTGCAGCGTCAGCCTGTCCCACCAGCTGTGCTCCTGTTTCTTGACCGTGATGTTCACCTGCCGCTGTGTGGACTTGTGCACCACCTGTAGAAAGACACACGCTCAGAAGCCTGAAGTCGGCTGGCTACTCGACAGGCCATCCACAGGAACTCTCAGGTCTGACTCGAGATATAAAAGGACGTCGATGGGGGAAAAAACGGCATGTGCTGCATGCTTTGTTTTTCTGATTGAGAACAAAATTGAATTGAATTTCAAATATTTTCCAAACTTTTTACTCCTCGCCAAACCTCAACACCTTTTCTCCTCTTCCAAACCAACTTGTATCCAGGCTTGTAATATTCTGTGGGCCTGAGTACAATCAGGAAGACTGTGGCAAGCACCATTTGGTAGACAGCGAGCAGGAATTAAAACTTGTAGTATAAACACCAGCCTCCTGTTGGGACTGTTTGACTGATATGTCTGCTGTGTACTGGTCATATCCGTTTTGGACGTGTCGCATTCCCAGAACTTTAGTCCAGCCTCCTCACGCCAAAGATGCCCATTTTAATCAGGCAGGTCTCTGAGACACTACTCCTCTTCGAGTGTTATAGGAAGACAGAAATTTATCTCTTTCTGTTCTGTTCACAGACAAGGGAAGTCATCTCCTACCACAGGCTTCACTGGCTTCAGGAACTGCAGGCTGAACTCGTAATCATTGTCTCCTTTGGCTCCATGACCTTGGCCTGCAACACGTCAGCAGAGAATCACCATCAGAGCAAAGCACTCTTAAGAATATAATTAAAGAACTGCCTGTAGTTAAGACTCGCTCCCCTTTTTCACATGTCTAAACTTTCAGTTTCACAGTTTCTGCAGTAATTATCGGGAGAAATTATTTTAGTCCAGTAATTGTGTTAAACCGTCATGAGCACAGCGGCCCTTCTCCATAGCTTCTCCCTACCCTGAGCACCATTACATACAGAGACAGAGCGTTCTTTTATGCAGGTCCAGTCTAGACTGGAGCTGGTCCCTTGAAATAACCCCCTGGCAAACATGCAAATCAGTGCTTTGCTGTGCAGCTCGGGACAGAGAGGCATGCAGGAGTTTGACAATGCAGAGCAAACTTACCTTTGAAATGAAGAACGTTGTCATTTACATTGATGTCAAGATTCTGCAACAATGAAAAGAAATGGCGTACTTTGTTACTTACAGCCCTCAGTATACTATGAGGAAGTGTTAGTGCACAGAGAGACTCGGAGAATCGGAGTGGCTCTACAATAAGAGATCTTCATATCTCTTCCTTCCTGTGCGTTTGCTTCCTAGTGATAGCCTACAACCTAGATTAAGCAACACATCTTCGCCTAACTTTAACTTTTGTAGGTTTTTAAACAATTTTAAAAATGCTTGTCCTCAGACTAAAATGTCAATGCACTGACACTGAAGTCACATTCCTGACAGATCAGATAAAGCTGCTGCACTGAAAAGACACTTTGTTGCCGGTGAACAAAATCAAGCAGCGAGGGAACTGTCCCTTCCAAGCAAGAGATCGTCTCATCCTTGAATAAAATGTCACCTGCTGTCCTTACCGTTATCAAGTTCTCTAATCAGCTATTCTGTGAGTACAATCAGGAAGCACTGTGGTTAGCACCATTTGGTAGACTGCAAGCAAGCAGTAAAACTTTTTAGTTCACTAAAACTGCCATCATTTTGTTTTTTGAATGTGTTTTTCTCCTGTATCTAATCACACAGGTAATCATGTAGGTCCCACAGTGGTTAGCCCCTCGCAGTGCTAGGGCCCTGGGTTCAAACCCTGGGGTACTGTCTGTGTGGAGTTTGTATGTTCTTCCTGAGTTTGTATGGGTTTCCTCCCATAGTCCAAAAGCATACTGATAGGTTAATTGGCTTATGGGAAAACTGACCATAGTGTGAGTGTGTGTACGTCTTGTGTACGTGTGTGTCTGTGCCTGCTTGCTAGTGTCACGACCCAGGTGTGTGACCCAGGTGTTCCCTGGATTATACCTGTTGCTTGCTGTGACTGGCTCTAGCTCACACGCAACACTGAATTGGATGAAGCTGTTAAGATGATGGATGGATCTAATCACATACTGTAAAGCCATATCAAATGACACAGGGACTGAGGAGCAGTGGGTATACATCAACATCACACCATAAACCCCAGTCTTTTATTTCTACTCTCACTTTGCCGGGCAAGGGATATCGTTGCACGTGCCGAGTTGTTGAGTCTGAGATAGCTGGGGCTCGGCTTGGCCAGTCTCTGCCTGCTCTTTAGTAATAAGAGGACTCAAGTAATTCAGTCTTCCTCTGTTTACCAGCAACAATCTCACCCCCTTCCTCTACCCGGAGCAGGGGAGCCTGCACTACAAAGCACTGGCCAGAGTGCTGCTCAGATGTTCAGGTGCATTAATTACATGGAGCTGTGAGAGATATGTGACCCATTGCTGGAACCCAGCCTCCAGTGTGCTTCTGCTCCTGGTCCCTTTCCTTAGTGTTGTGTATTTTCATAAAACTTGCATTAGGCCAGAACGTGCCAGAATCTGTCCTCCAGCAAGCCAGTGCCCCCATTGTTAGCTCGGCTCCAGTTACAGTACTAAGTGGGGGATGTGGAATTTGTGCCAAATTGACGCTCCTGTATGCAACCGGAGCTGCTCAAGTTGTCTTGTCCCATGCACTTTAATATATAGGCATTGTAAAAAAACAACAACTATGAAATCGTGTATGTAGTGTAAGGGTGGTATCAGGACCATAAGAATGCGTGCATAAAAACGCTGTACATTTGGAATCCGTTTGTTCTCCAAACAGCTCAGCTCAGTTTAATTTGGCTAGAAGGGAGTTAAGTTACAACAACTCCAGACTGCAGATACATTAAATCCAGTTAGTTTTCTTCCTAAACTTGCTACCCAAATTTAGGGGTCACCGTCTCAATCTGGAGCTGCACGGAATGGTTTCCCTGACAAATTAAAAAAAAAAACGTTCCTTTTAAAAGCCCTAATTGTCGTTAGCGGTTTTTCTCATTTCTCCTTTTTCTAAACTTCTGCGTCCCGTCCACTCACTAAGTTCTGTATAATTAGTTAGTACAGTACTCCAGTACACTCCATCCTGTTTATGAAACATATTTGCTGAGAATTCTCGTTCCATACAGGCAGATCAGCTGAAAGAACATTTTCGTCTACTCATATCCAGAACGTCCTCACTGCGGATGCATAATAACGGTAATAATTAGCTACTACTTTCTGGATCTCAGGCTGTAACGAAGGATTGTTATATTAACTGAGATCCATCTCCCTGGGCTTGCTAAAGAATATACCTGTACAATGCTGAGACCGCCCGTCCCTTACCTGCGCGTCGCTCAGCTCCACTCGCAGATATATATCTTTATGCCGTTGGGCCCAGAACACTTGTGGGGTAAGGGGCGGCATCGTACCCAATCTTCTTTAGCACACCACCGTTTATCACTGTAATATTTTTTTTCCCAAATTGGGCTTTTAGATAATATTTTTCAGGCACTCTTCATCTGACAACCAGAACATTCCGCAGAGCTGGCGTGCGCGCTCGGTATAATCAGACGCTCAGTTGCGAGACTTGCTCCGCCCCTCAACAGCCGTACGTGCTCGCCCCCGGTGGTGTCACATGGTCTTGGAGGTAGGTCGAAGCAGTGTTGATGTATGATTTTGCACATCTGATGTTGTTTTGCACATTGCCTGTTGTCTCTGTCTTTCTTTTCTTATACAATTGTATTGTTTTTTTTTGTACTGCTAACCATCTGAAAGCTAGCTAAATAGCACTTTTTATACCATATACTTGTATATGAGTATAATGACAATAAACTTGAACTTGCGTCGAGTTCTGTGCAGAGCTGCACGCAAAACGTGTCTTCCAGGGCACTAGAGGCGCTATATTTGGAAACATCGCAAGTACAGGGAGCACATTCTGCAACTCTTATTGACTCTCTGACAGCGTCGTTGATGTTAATTGTAAACTGCCTTGAAACAGAGAAAGTATTATAAGTCAGTGTCATAGGGCTAGGTCGAGTTTAGCCACTTAACTTAGTCAACACAAAGTAAAGAAATATACAGTTGTTCTTGCGCTTGGGCTGTTAACAGTAATACTGTATTTAGCTATTAGCTGTCCCACGATGAATTGTAACGAATTCGGGTTTCGGTACGGAATGGAGCAGGCATGGGACTCGAATAGGGTTGAACACATTTATTGACTTGAACTTAAACCGGGAAAGGTAAACACACAGGGACAGGGGTTAAAACGCTGCACCTTCACTAACACACAGACACTAAGGGAAGAGCCTGTCTCCTAGCCTCCACCCCACTATATACAGTCTCGCCTTGCGTGTGCATGCTAAAGCGCCCCGCGTGGCGCTACAGAATAATGTTTTAATGTCCAGTGACGATCACAGACTAGCTGGTATACGGTTAGCACACAGCTAATGCTGTATAACTCCAGTAGAATAAAAATATCCGTCAGGCCAGTCTGGCTACAATGTTTGCGTTTTCATTTGCATACTTTATGAAGTCATTTGCAAGTTCCAGTATTTCATTCATTGCAGTTGCTTGTGTACGTTGTGGGATGATGAGGCACTGTGTGTGCTTGGAAAATATTTGCTGTTCTAAGTATAGCAATGCCAGCAAAAACAAACAAAATGAAATAGGGCTGTAAGGCAAATGAAGGAGTGCTATGTAGAGGTGTAAACATCGCAGGCAGAGGTGACTGTAACGCAAATATTCTGCCTTGTCTGGGTTGTAGTGTTTTGTTAATGTTTCCATTTGAAGTTGCAAAGCTACCGTCTGTGCCTTGAATGTCTCCCCCTCTTCTCCTTTACAGGGGAACTGCAGGGCCTTAATACACATCTACGCACGTTTTGCATGGTCCACCATGTTTTTTTTTGTCACTACTACATATTTATTGTTCTACAACATATTTATCGTTCCTGTTGTCAACATTGTGTGGTGCTGTCTGTTGTACAGTGAATGTCCTGAGAGATCAGTGTGATTCAGAATTCCAGTGTATGTGTAGATATGGAAATAAATTACTCTACTCTCTACCCTACTTTTAGGTCAAAAAAGCCTTTTCAGTGTTTCTTTTTAGCTCCCTGATGCACTACAGAGAGGTTTAGGAGATGCTGTTTAACCTATCTGCGCACAAAATACCTCCAGAGCATAAGACTATTTCCCTTGGAATTCCACTGTTCTTGTGCAGTGCATGGTGTGATCAATCATGTCGATGTACTGAGTTATATGTCATGTCTGCGTAGTGTTTTTATGTTCTTTACTGTATGTCTATGAGCTGTGTTGGCAGCTGAACTCCCCCATTGGGGATTATACTAAGTTCTAAACAAACTGTATCGCATCACAGATAACACTGAGAGAGGAAGGCATGAACTGTACCTTGGAATATGGAAAAAGGCTTTTTAAAGACAAAAACAAGATAACATTTGTTTTAAAATAGCGAGAAACTATGCCAAACTTTGGTTTGCTGCCCAAGCCTCATTATTTTGTGATCATTCAGTTTGTTTCTTCTTTCTTTTTTTTGTTTCAGATCAGTTTTATTGTGAAGCGAGGTTTTATACATTCAAAGTATAGCGAGCTTCACTTTTCTATATCTGAAGGTAAGAGAAAACAAATATGGAACGAAAACAAAATACAAATAAGCAACGGTATAGTATTCACCTACTGAACATTCAGGTACAGAAAAAGAAATCAGTCTGTACATAAAAACCCTCCAACCTCCCAACCCCTGTCCCACCTGTTGTCTTAAATACAACTTTTGCATACATTTGAATGGTATTATCTTTTGAGGTATGAAATTAAAGAGTCGCAAATATTCTCAAACTCTTTGAGCACATCCTTCAGATTAAATCCAGTCCTCTCTAACCCCAGTGTATCAATCGGCTCCATGAATCAGTGCTTCACTGAGGTCACCTCCTCCTCTTTCCAGAGCATGAGAATTTGTTTCTTGGCAATGATCAGGACATTGGCCAGGCAAGGAGAATGAACAGGGTCCGGCTCTAGCTGAACCTCCAGCACCTCAGAGAGGATCCACAAGCCGGTGTAGCGGAGCTAGTTTGGACATGGTGATGTCATCACCCACCCTGGGCTGAGGGAGGTCTCCTTTAGCTCCTGCGGCCGGTTCCCTGTTGCGTTATGCCGGAGACCTGGGTTTGCGCCCCAGGTGTTGCGGGACGAACCGGCGGGGTGGAGCGGCGGAGGTGACACTAGCACTGCTGTTCATGACCTGGAAGTCGTTGCTGGAGTACTTCCAGGTCAGCCCTTTCTTATACCGTCCATTTACAGGATTAGTGTGGTTCACCTTCCTCTGTAATTCAGTGATAAAGAAGGTTTACAGTTGAATAGATTTTTTCTTCTATCTAAATAAACTTTAGTCCACAATCGACATCTCTGTTGAAATATAAAATTGCCCCATAGTGTTATAACTGTTATAACTGGGAGCAGCGCAGTGGTTAGGATTGCTGCCTCACAGCGCTGGTGCCCTGGGTCGAGTTTGTGGGGTGCTGTCTGTGTGGAGTTTGCATGTTCTCCCAGTGTTTGCATGGGGCCCAACGGAGTAGGATTCCTCTGCCGGCCGCGGGATTTGAACCGGCAACCTTCCAGTCACAGGCTGTAATTTATTTATTGCCATATGTAACCAGTGCTGGTACAATGGAATTCTTACTTACAGAAAGTCTCTCGATTGTAAAACAAGTGTAAAAAACAAGTTTTTTACAAGTGTAAGTTTTTTACAAGTGTAAGTTTTTTACACTTGTTTTACAATCGAGAGACTTTCTGTAAGAATTCCATTGTACCAGCACTGGTTACATATTTTTACACTTGTTTTACAATCGAGAGACTTTCTGTAAGTAAGAATTCCATGGTACCAGCACTGGTTACATATGGCAATAAAGTTCAAGTCAAGCTCTCTATTGATCGCTTTGTCGGCTGCTGCAGTATGATCTATTTGCCAGCAGATGGCAATGTGTCTCTGTTCTTGATTTGAGAAAATCCAACATAAGACTTGATTTTTTGTTTTATTAAAAGAAAAGTACGGAAGTTTATTTTCGCCGCGGAGAAAAAAAAAATATGTGTTCTGACGAGATAGTTAAGGACGCTTATTAGCGGCAATAAGAACAATATATATATTTGCGTTTAAACAAGAAACTTACTATCTCGCTTGAAAACGCATTTTTTTGTCTCCCGCGGCACCAATAAGAGTGTCTTATTGTGTTGGACAGGGGCGTAGCCACGGGTCGCCCTGATTGATCATAGGCCTACCCAATCAGTCCAAAGAAATCTGAGATTTTTCCCCCCCTTGTTTGCGTAAAATGATTTACTTTTTAATGTTGCGTGTTGATTTTTTTCATCGTATGTGATTTGCTATTGGCTCGCTGTATCTCTTGTGACCAACAAAAAAATTATTATGAAATATAAATGTAGTGGGGCGGTGCATGCGTAGCCGTAGTCTTATTGGCTATTGGTGTCGTTAGACACCCTTGGAGCTATCTGGCGCTAGGTTTTTGGTTTATTAGCCAACATGGCAAAACAGATGCATATATCTGCGTCTGTAGATGACCGGACCAGTCCCGAAACAAATAAGACACATGAGATGCTACAGGCATCTTGGGTTTTAAGGAGTACAGCCTGGCTTCCCGAATACAAATGTTCCTGGACCGCAAGGGGCAGTGCACGAGTTTGCTTGTAGCAGCTCGATACATGCTCGACCTGTAGGAGTTAAGCACGAAGAGGTTCTAAAATTTCTCCTGTAAACAAATGAAAAGTTTTTGAATGCATTAATAATATTAAGATAATATTGACGGATAGATGCGAGTGTGCATTTTACAGATAACTATTCAGGTCGCCTCTAAATGCCCTGCAAAATGTTTAATTTTATGCAGACCATTCTGGCAATTAAAGGTACAGTGAATTGGTTAGCACTGTAATGGGACTATAACAATTCAGTGTTAAGTCTTGTGGGAAGACACGAATTTCCAAATTTGCTGTCTTTTGGCATCGAAAATATAATACTAATTCCGTGGGTTTCATACAAGTTTAAAAGCATCATGAAGGATCGAACAAGATCTTCGCGGGTTTTGTTCTCATGGCGCCTCACTCGATATTACCTTTGGGACGATGCAATTTACTCCAACCTCTGAAACCCATACGTGCGTGCACGTTCCCCTGGTATGTTACGCTCAAGTCTGCTGAATATTTAAAGGCAAGGTAAAAGCTCAGTGAAGTTGGCCCCCCTACAGACAGCACAAACGATGAAACCCACCTCATTCGTTAGTGCCACGTTTGTGCCGTTGAAAGTAGCGTTTGTGCTGCTTTTGTTTCCGCTGATCACGTGACCATGCACGGTGCCTTTGACCTCCAGTGACTCCGACAGGTGAAAAGGAGCTCTTGCAGGTTTTCTTTAGCTAAAGACAAAGTCCTCATATGAGAGACCTTTGCAAACTAGCTGTCGTTTGAACGGGAATTTGCCGACTCTGTAAACAGTGACGAGATTATCGCCATATTCAATTTCCAGCCTCGACGCCTACGTCTGGTCTAGAAGGTCAAAACCTCACAACAGAGGTAGGCATTGCGTGTTTTGTTGTGTGTCCGCCGTGGCATAGTAGCGTTCGGCAGCCTAGGTGATTGTTGCTTAACGTGTGTGTGTGTGTGAGAGAGAGAGAGAATGTATACATAAGATTCTGCTAATTCTGCTCTTTGACTATACTGCCCGAGGATTGCATTATAAATTGGAGGGGTGCCCCTCTACTGGCAGAACCACCCAAAAATCAATTCCTGGCTACGCCCCTGGTGTGGGAAGCCAGGATTTAAATTCCCCAGGACAGACCTCAGCAGGACAAAGTGGCTTTCTTTTCCAACAAGGCCTTGTTGGAACAGCAAGAAACCGAATCCTTCGGTTGTGACAATGAAGCCAGCTGCGGGACTGGAAAGGGACTCTCTAGCATGGAAGGAGGAGGTGTACTTGCTACAGTGTTGTTCTTGGACCCCAGCTTGACCCAGTAGGCTGCTGAACGCCTTTGTGCAGATATGGCCTGTGAAAGAGGTGCAGTGGTGCCTGTGTGTTTAGTGTTCAGGGTCCTGTCCCATTCCTGGAGGGTTTGAGGGCTCTGTCTCCTGTCCTTTGTCTGCAGAGAACTGCAGCTTGCGCGTGTTCAGATTCCCGCAATGCTGTGTTCGCTCTGTGTTCCCCCACAGATCCCGGCGAGCAGGAGACGGTGTCTGACTGGACCATGGTCCCTGTCGTCCTCAAAGAAGAAGCCTGCGGCGCAAGTGGTGGACATTGATCGTTGGGCCCTGCTGTCATTTTGTTGACAGAAATTGCCTGACCAGGTGTTTGAAGTTACTTATCGTATTACATCGGCAAACTCCTACTGCTTAGTCCACTAATGTACCAGCCCACCAACTCGTCCACCTCCGTACTAATCCAAACACCCACCTGCTGCTCATCCTAACCACTGACCCCTGCCTATTAGCTAACAGACTGACTAACTGGTCTTCTAAGCTACTATCCACAAGCCGCCTTTCCTCTCTCAGATCAGGAGGGTGGCTGCTACCAGCTGTGTTCAGTAGTAAAAGCTTTCTGCCCTGTTCTCTGTTGCTGCTTGATTTTACACTTCGCTAAACATTTGACTGAAGAAGTCGGTAAAGGAATCGTAAAAGAACAACCAGCATAATTGCAGTAATCATGCCTTGTCATGCTTCTGCTTATCCCGATGTCAGTGTAAAGCAGACATACATTATAAGGTAAAATTAGTTTGCTGCGCAGACAGCCACTGTGATTTATGGTGCAATCGCTGTTGCTAACTTTACATTGCTTTCCTCTTGTTCTTCTGTGAGAGATCCATGTAATCTTGAATGTCTTTCCCAGATGGGTGACTGTGAGTGAAGGCAGGGATCAAACGTGTACAGAGACACCCCCTCTGTGGGGCCTCTGTAGGTAATTACAGTTCACTCACCTGCACAATTAATTACAGTTCATCTGCCTCCATAAACAACTACAGTCCACCCATCTGCACAGCTAACTACAGTCCACTTACCTGCACAAGTTAAAGTCCATCTATCTGCACAACTAACTACAGTCCACCCACCTGCACAACTAACTACATCCACCTGCACGAATACATTTAGTAGTAAAGTCTCCACCCACCCGAGCAGCTTGCCACAGGGTGAATTTAAATGATGTTCTGCTGTTGACAGAGATTGCTGCTCTCCTGCATCTGGCACTGGGACAGTTTTGCGTGGTAAATCGTAATTATATTTCCAATTAAGGACAGGAATGTGTCTCCTTTATTGCAGTGTTGCTATTTTTCAACAATTGCTTTCTGCTTCAGACAAAACAGGTATCAAAGGCCAAATCTTGGTTTGGAAACAAAGGGTTTATGTTAGCCGACTGTTTAACAGAAAACTATAAATGTCAGTTCTTCCGAAACCCGTTGTTAAAAGTGACCCAGAAATCGCCTGCTTTATCCTCAGTTCCTGTAGAGGAAGGAGCGCAGATCGTGTACAGAATCCACCTTGTCTGCCTCTCGGGCTGCAGAATCCAGTGCAAGCTGCTCTGAGAGGCCTGCAGCTCCAGTAGCACATTCCTCACTCAGTGTGCTCGGGCTCTGCTCCCCTGCAGTGCATTATACCAAGGTTAACTCTGGCCAGGGGCAGAGCAGGCCTGACACAAATCCGTCTCTGGCGCCCACTTGGCGGCAGCAGGCTAGCGCGCTACACCCCTTCTGGGATATTAACAAAAAAAATAATTTGAACCCTACTGCAGGAGCAGTGAGCTCAAGAGGAATTAGAGGACTGTACGGATCTGTCTCGGTGGGGCCAGCCTTAATGATAAGTGGGGCTCTATCGCGGCTGTCATTTGTTTCCAGCAACAGTACCGTATCCCAGTTCATCTCTACCTCCTACCTCCAAGGCAGCAGGTCTCGGGCTCCGCCTGGATTCTGCGTTTGTTCCTGCTCGAACACCTACCGTCTATATTACATACCGTACGTTGTGTCAGGGTGTCAGGGTCATCTAAATTGTCAATTTAAAAAATGGTCTAAGTGGTTGTCCTTTGAACCCGTCTGTTACTTGATGGATCCTGTATGTTAAGGAAGTTTCCCCAGATATGAAAAAGAGCAAATGTACAGGTATTATGTCATGGGAATATAGTGTGAGCCTGGTTTGCACTAGTGTAGTAGTCTTGCATGCTTCGGTGATGCTCAGATCTGTGTGCATGTTCAGCTGGTGAAACACTGGCTAAAAGGGGTTAAATAGCTGCCATTCAAACTCCCTGGCACCTCCTATGTGCACTGTTGTTTTTATTGAAATTCAAGGTATTATTGTTTTGAACAAAAAGTATTATTGTTTTAGTAAACAGTTATTTCCTGAAAGATTTGCAATTCCCATTATTGCCAGCTGCTATTTCCAGTTATTTCCTGAAGAAGCTGCTCTTCCCAGTATTCCCAGCTGAGGTTCAAAGTTAGTTCCTGAAGGAGCTGCTATTCCTAGTGTTGCCAGCTGCTATTTCCAGTTATTTCCTGAAGGAGCTGTTATTCCCAGTATTCCCAGATGCTATTTCCAGTTATTTCCTGAAGGAGCTGCTCTTCCCAGTATTCCCAGCTGAGGTTCATAGTTCCTGAAGGAGCTGCTATTCCCAGTATTGCCAGCTGCTATTTCCAGTTATTTCCTGAAGGAGCTGTAATTCCCAGTATTGCCAGCTGCTATTTCCAGTTATTTCCTGAAGG